TAGCTGCTTTCCAACACAACAATCATGTTCACTCTGCCACTGGAAAAACCCCATTTTTTGTAAACTACAGTCACCACCCAAATGTCTCACATACAGAATGGCTCCATACAACAACATCCACCTCCTCTGATTTTGCAGCAACAATATTCAGGATTCATGATAAAACATATACTGCCTTTAAAAAAGCAGCAACATCTATGAAGAAATAATATGACTAACATCATACTCCCACTCATAACTATACCATATATAATAAGGTTTGGTTAGATACAACCAATCTTTATCTCTCTTGCCCAAAACAAAAGCTTGCAGATAAATGAACCAGACTATTCCCCATTCTCTCCAAAGTTGGCATCTCCACATATAAACTTCATCTTCTAGTGATATGAAAAATCCATGATGTATTCAACAAAACATTACTTACTCTGTATGGCATGCCTGTATTCTCTAATCAGGAACATCCACCTCTATCTGACCTGAAACTGATTGATGACAAAGAACACTATGAAGTCAATCAGGTTCTTAATCACAAACTCTGCAAGGTTCACACATAGGGTGGAGGATCTTGGACCTCAGTTGATTACTTGATCAGTTGGAAGGACTATAGTTCTGAATCTAACTAATAGATCAATGAACAACACATGCATGCTGATGATGCTATCTGCAATTACAAACTCTCTCTTGAGTAACCATCAAGATGATAGTCTTAAGGAGGGGGTAATGTTATGATTTTTCTCTTTCCTTTCTTGAATAACCCCTATTTATGCTTAGTCAGAGCATCTAGACCAGTGCTTTGGACTGTGGGACAGGCTTAGTCACTATAATAGGCTGAGTCTGCTATTGTCCTTCAACACAACAATGACTCTCAATAACAGACAATACTCTTTTGTAGATAGTAATGATGCTTAAGGACAAAGAGCACTATAACATAGAAGCTCACAATTAGTAGATATATATTTAACTCAAGCCTGAACAGTATATAAGTAGTGTAGCTCTCACTGTATATCCCCAGCTTTGAGCTAAAGTTTATTCTTTTACCACTTCATCTCAAGCCAATCATCTTTGGCCTTGAAGCACTAGATCAACAAGCACACACAAGTGAACTCTAGTGTGACTGTACAAACTTGATACAGTGCTAGTTTATCATGTGCTCAGATCATATGCAACTTGGGCTTAACAGGCCATGACAGGACTGCATTAGAGGTTTTAGACCATAATGAGATCAAGAAGTTTTTGAATGCACATTATATCTCTGCTATTGAATTATATTGGAGAATCTTTTCATTTTGACTACATCAGGAGGAGCCTAATGTTGTTCACCTTCAGATTCATCTTCCTGATAAACAGCTTATAATATATGATGAAAATGCCAGTCCAGAAGAGGTGTTAGCAGCTGCAGAGAAAAAGACAACTACTCTGTTACAATGGTTTGAGCTCAATAAGAGAGATCTAAATGCACACCAATATCTATATCAGAACACTCCTGCTCATCATACTTGGAACAAAAAGATCTAAAATTTATGCTAAAGATATACTACTATTGGTATTACAATTGGTTGAATATATCAAGCTGCTCTCTCATCAGGTGAACAACTCTATCTGCAGCTTCTTTTGACTGCTGTCACCAGTGCTCAATCCTTCCAACATCTATGCACTGCAAATAATATACAGTGTGCTACTTTCAAGAAGGCATACATTGCTATGGGTTTGCTGGAAAATGATAATGAATGAAAGCAATGCTTAGAGGAGGCAGCCATTATGAAGTCAGAAGCATAGTTGCAATCACTATTTGTAACTCTTCTTCTCTTCTGCCAGCCAGCAAAGCCAGACAAGCTAAGGAAAGAGTTTATAAAGAATATTTGTGATGATTTGGCATATAAGCTTCACCAATGTGACAATCAAAATTCAACAGATGCTCAGCTTTATGATTTTGGTCTCTATCTTATTGATAAACTTCTTCAATCTCATAGTTGGCATCTTTCTGAGTGGATCCAGATGCCAGCTTCCACTATGAACTGGGTCACTTATGAGAATAATCCTCTTCTGACTGCATAGCTGATCTATGATATTCCATCTCTTCAGCAATTAGTTGCCAACAATCTTCAAACTTTCAATGCAGAGTAAAAGACTGCTTTTGATATGATTGTTGACTCTGTTACTCATAAGCAAGAGAAATCAGTATTTCTTCATAGTGCTGGAGGTGGTGGGAAGATCTTTGTGTGCAATACAATTGCTGCTGTTGTTTGAGCTCAAGGATAGATTGTATTAACCTGTGCATCCTCAGGAATATCTACAATTATCTTAGTCAGAGGTTGCACAAGCTATAGTACTTTTAAAATTCCAATCCCCTTATGTGATGATACAATATGCAGTATTTGCAGAGGAACTCACTTAGCTGAACTTCTTTGCCAAACTTTTGTTATTATTTGAGATGAGATTCCTATACACAATCAGCATGACATTGAGACTGCTGACCAGTCTTCATAATATCTGCAATAATGATACTCCTTTTGATAGAATAATTATTCTTTTTGGTGGTATGTGTACTTATTTTTGAGTCTATATAGATTAGCATTTCTGATTATTTATTTTAGGAGACTTTCATCAAACATTGCCAGTTGTTTCATGTGGACCAAAAGAACAGATTGTTGCAACTTCATTTTGCCATTCACCATTATGGCTTCAGATCCAAGTCATTCATTTAAAGAAAAACATGTGTCTGAATCAGACTCCAGAAAATATCCAATTTGCACATTGGCTACTCACTGAAGATCAAACCATCTCTCTACCTGCTTCTATGTGCCTTTCTGGCTCTTCACTTTCTGGGCTTATCAGATACATTTATCCAAGCAATCAAGCAGGCTATTTTCAAGACTGCTTTTTTTCAGAATGAACAATTCTCTCTAGATGCAATGATGATGTTGATGAAATCAATCAACAGGTTCTGGATATGTTTCCAGGACAAGAGGCAGTCTATTGGAGCACAGACAAAATAATGGAGGAAGAGTTGGATGATCCTACTACTCTTTATCCAGTAGAGTTTCTTCAAAATTTCAATGCTTCTGCATTGCCACATGCAAAGCTGGCTCTCAAAGTTGGATGTCTCCTCATGCTTCTCCACAATCTGAATCCAGCAAATGGCTGATGCAATGGGACATGGATGATTCTCACATGTTTTTGTCTCCATGTTTTAGAATACTATCTTAGTGGCAACAGTGCTGGCAAGGCTGTTTTTATTCCACATATCACAATCAATACAGATACAGCTGAACTTCCTATTGCATTTTCACATTGCCAATTTCTAGTCAGGCTGGCTTTTGCAATGACAATCAACAAGTCTCAAGGACAGTCAGTTACCTGTATTGGATTAGATTTATGTACTCCTGTTTTTTCACATGGACAACTCTATGTAGCACTTAGCTGCTGCACTTCTGGACAACAAATTTGAGTTCTCTTTCCAGATACAGAAAAAGGTACAAATACTTTAAATGATGTATATCCTGAAGCTCTATTACACTAGTAATATATACTTGTTTTTGAACTGATACCTCAAAATATAAATAATAAGCTGGGTTTGGGGTTGGCCCCAACAAGGCAAAGTCCCATGTCATAGTCAGGTTTCCAGGAACAAAGGTACGAAGGTCCAGCAATCATGACAAAGACATGGGGCAGAAGCTTGTACTAACATACTTGAAATGCAAAGAGCCATGCTAGCCGTGCCATTTGTTTTTCAGGTGTGAAGGAAGCCCTCTTCCGACATGTGTACGCGTATCATCGTATTATCGTTTTGGGTGGATAACTTTTTGGCTGATTCCTTACTAAGACGAAAGAACAAACTTGGATACAGTTGTGCTATGGAGCAGCGGGTTGTCGCAAAGACGACAGCCTCTGAACCAAACAAGATATAAATATATCTGAGGTCAACTCCCATCTCGACTTTTCCTTTTCTCACATTTGCTCTCGTTTCTGTTTGGACGCATAAAATGGCTGGGAATTCTTTGACGATAGGAATTGTGTTGCATGCGCCAGCGCATTAGGTTCATTCGTGGTGATGGCCAAAGTGTTCGGCGTTTTCATGGGACCTCTACGTGCGTTATTGGGTGGTGAGTGAAATTATATCCACTGCAGTGATAGATATATTAATAGGAGCTGCAGGAGCATATCGATGAATATGTATACTCATTTGGGCGAAGGATCTTGGGAGTCTCTGAAGGTACAAGTCCTGTCCATTTGTTCCAGTGGTGAGGGCCTTCAGCTTATACCGTGTGTATCGGATTTGGTTGCCAATGTATGTCAAAATCTATCCGAGGTGAAAATTCACGAACGTCGACTATACCTTACGTGAAGATGAACTCGCTCTTCGTTGAACACATACATCTGCTTATGTATGCGAAAGCTATAGTCCCTCAGCTGAACATCCCGAAATGAAGACGAGAATCAATAGTATCCGTCGTAACAACGAGCGTATCTATCGAACTCATGGTATTTAAACTATCGAGAAGCGATGTAATATTTCATTTTGCTGGTTAGTTGTCCTTCTAGCGTCGCTTCATTCTCTATCTAAAAATATCGCTTTAAAGGGGCGTCCATTCGTGTCGAAGAAATAACAATGAGCCTTTCTTGCATCGGTAGATGGATATCACACTGCTACGACAACATACATATTCGATGGAACTCAGTTGCTGTACAACGAGTATATGCGCCTACTAGTTCGTCGTGGCTGAAAGATACCTTTCTACATTGATTGGACAGCGGCCCGAAAAAAATGCTTTTGTTCCTATGTATCGCTCTAAGCAGGAGGGATTGATCCCTAATCGTAAGCTGTGCATTTTCGCTCAACATTATGTGGTAATTAAAGCGTGGTCTTTTGATTGTTCACATAAACGGTATATCATTGTCATGTCCAGCGGTGGGTGTGCCAGAAAGGAAGCACAATACGAAACAATAATTGTCCGATCAACTGGCGCATCAATTGTCTTGTTGCATGTCCTTTGCTTATTTCGCCCGAAATGGCTTTGTGGCAGCCGAAGTCGGTTTATAGACCAGTGGTCTTCTCCGTCGAGGGCATCATACCACATCTCTTCGTCCCGGAGACGATACCTCGATCCCACCCTCACTTGTATTCCAATATCTCTTTCCTCTCTACTGATATCCAGCTTTCGGTACGTGCCTTTCACTGTCGTTTCTGCAACCTACTAACCCACTCTGTAGCCATGTCTGCAGCTGTCCAAGTCACATTTCAGATGCTCCCCGTCGAACTCATCCTCAAAATCTTCCACATGACCACCTTCGACGGTACTGACCACAACGTCCCATTGGCTCTCAGTCATGTCTCCAGGGGCTGTCGCAGCATTGTCAGCTCCGAAGCGCGTCTCTGGACGAACATCAAGGTCGACAATCAATCTGCGGTCGGACACCCGCGCAGAGTGGGCGCGAATCCCCAAGACGTCTTTCCCGCACTTTCCGTCTATCTCCGCAACTCCAGCCAACTTCCCTTCAACCTTTTGATTGAATATGTCGGACTCCCTCGATACGAAAAAGATCCGGGCTCGTACGACTTCAGTGAACCCCGCACGGACGGCTTCACGCTCTCCCATGCCACTCACCTCGGCAGCATACTCGCCGCCCATGTGCACCGCCTTCAAAGCCTCACCGTCGACACATTCTCCTGGGAGATATACACTCTGATCGTCAACCAATGGGCGGGCCTGCGCCTCCCGCTCGTCGGGAGTTGGAGCGTGAAATACGGCAACGTCCGAGATCTCTATTTGTTCAATGTCTATTCCGACATGTTACAATTTGATATCGGAGAGAGTGAGAATATCCTCACGAACGGTGGCGTTGCGAGCAGTCCGGATGAACTGGCCGGTATAGGTGGACACTATTTCCCGCGACTGAAGCGTCTCCGCCTTTGGGCGACACCGCACCAATGGACCTTCTCTACAAGGAACCTGGTCGAACTCGTCCTGAAGAACATGCCAGAATCACATCGTACTACCGACGAGCTCCTGCGAGTGATTCTAGCCAACAGCCAGCACACCCTGCAGATCCTGGAGCTAAATGGTGTCCTTCACCCATGGGTCAGCCCCCCGAGCGCTCGCTTGTCCCTCCCCGCTGTTCACACCCTCAGAATTGGATTTTCCTATGTCGAGGAAATCGCTACCCTACTCCGCATTGCCGAATTCCCCGCTCTCACCAACTTGTGGCTGAAGCATCTACTAGCCCTCCTAAATGAGAACACGCGACATCAGGAGGAGATGGCTGATATGTTCGACGCCATGGTGGACGAGCTGCCTTTGCGCCAGCTGACCGCGCTGTACATCGAAGCGGTGTCTTTTCCCAGGGAGAATCTGCACCGCATATTCACTTGGGAGGAGATACGCAATGGCACGGTCCCTCAGGACGAGTATCCCGACCCTATGCGATTCATATCGCAGCTCAATGCTCTGCAGTCGCTCACACTTGTCCGACCAGACCCGATGTTCCTCCAGTCCATGAACTACTCTCCGCCGCGTTCGTTGCTATTCCTTCCGTCGCTCTGGAAGCTCAGGTTCGAGACGTCGATTCCGACTGACTACTTGTGCATTGTAGAGTATTGGAGCTATCGCATGGGACTGCTAATGCATGCATCGGGGGGCCGGTACCTAGGGCCTGGTCTTGAGAGGTTGGAGTTGTTGCTTCCTGATACAGTGGACAAGGTCGGGCTGGCAAGATGGATACACAACCGTCGGCCGTATGTGCAGTCGATGGTTGTCGGTTTTCAGCCCGAGGATATTCCTTTTGTACTTGCAGAGGATGAAAGTGATTTTATGGCGGTAGATTAGTTCATCATCTGCGGGCTTTTCTTGCTATGTATTTCTATCACTGTCTTTTTCCCAGTATGGCTACTATCAAACTTGGATTCATGCTGCTATCGTAGTATCTCACAAGCTACGTCATCACTGTCAACATGAGTCTATGATAATGATGCCTTCCAATCCCTCGGCCCTCGTGCACGGGCCTCATGAGTATAAAAGATCAGCCGTGTTTGTTCTTTCTCTCCGTCGCCTCTTTCTTCCCCACCATCTATACCGTGCTCATGAACGCCTCGGTCGCTGACATGGAACAATCAATCTCTTGGCTTACTGCCGGCTCATGGGTCCCACCGTTCAAGTAAGTATATTATGCTCATGATGATGCTCTGGTATCCATATAGTACCCCCACCCCCGCTCCAGCAGACACTGCACTCTCACTCGGTGACACTCGCCCACTAAACTCAGTCTAATAAGTCCAAACAATATAACACGTAGCAAATTCCAACGTGCAGTTCATCACCTTTCTGGCCGCAAAAAAAAAATTAGGAACGATAACAAAAAATCCCCATAACAAAACCATACCCACCTTCAAGCTTCAATCTCAGCAGTAACTACCCCACCCGACGACGAAACTTCTTCACAAATTCAAACTGCGGTCCGGTCTCGGGACTGTGCGGATACCGCGTATGCTTCTCGACGGACCGCCACTCCTCCGCAATGATCATCAGGGCCTCTTCCCCGTCTCTTGCTACACCACTCTGCACCAGCCAACAGCCGATCACCATCCCTGTTCGCCCGATGCCGCCCCGGCAGTGGACCGCACAGATCCTCCCCCGCTCTTCATTATCCCGCAGGACGTCCATCACGCGATGCATGTACCCCACACTGTCTGGCAGGGACCTGTCGCGTATGGGGAACCGCTTGTATTCAATGGTTGTGGGATCCACCCCCAGTAGCGTCGCCCGTGCACAGAGTATGTGCGTGTAAGGCTTTAGCTCGTCGCGCTCGGTGAGGTCGATGAACGTCCGCACGCCCGCTGCGAGCAGGGCGTCAAGCTTGGGCTTACACGGAGCCAGGGGTGTCCATGGGTATTCGCACGCGATGAGGAAAGGTGTGGCCCAGTAGGAATTGGGTATCGGTCGTGGTCGGACAGCAGTGATGGCCAAAGGGCGTGATTCGTCTTTTGAATGGAAGTTGTGAGTGGAAAGCATAGCTTCGCAAAAAAATGGGGATTACTAGGGAACCGAGTGTGTCCAATTCTTATACTAATATACTAATATCTCGATTTTGGTCGTGTGACAGGTCAAACGCAAGGGATGCTTTTTTTTACTCGTATTCAGTACTGCCGCAGCGTGTACGTCGTGCCACGAAACGCGTGACTACCATGCGGTCCAATGGTAAAAACATGCTTCATTCTACAGGCCCACGCATTTTTTGTGACTTGAAACACGTGGTTTCCTCGTCAAATAAGAGGACGCAATACATTCGGTCTACGAACAAGTTTACATTTCGAAATCTTTACAACAAAACTTCTACACACAGTTGTTCTACACACAGCGATCCGCGTCCGAAAACAAACAGGTATAGCGAGGATAGTAGTATGAGCAACATACAACATCAGGAAGCATTAAGATCGTAAAAGCACAGAGGAGAACCAACTGGCAACGGATCCGACACCTCGTGTTCAAGAAGATATTTCATCCGTTAAGCAGTCGGTGAAGCAAAAGGATAGCCAAATATCTCTTAGAGCCTGACATGTCGGGCAGGCGTTGGCCGACCTTTCGGACGAGGCCTGCTGAGCCTCAGAGAATCGCCTCGCCTACATGAGCAAATCAGACCCAACAACAAAAAGAAAAGCAAGAGAACGAATCTCACTTCATGTTCGTCTTTGGTGTATTCTCCTTCAACCCGGTCGAAGTCTTCCCATTCCTCTTTGCCCATCCGATAGCAGTACGCCTAGCAGCCGACCCTACACGAGGACGAGTAGCCGCCACACCCCACATGGTCTCCTGCTTAGGCTCGTCAATCGAAGGACTAAACGGCTTAGAAGCCGATGGAGCGTTGGCATGTGGCGCGATATCCCCGAGCGGAGAGCTTGTGGCGTTCCGATATACATCCTCTTGCTTCGTGATGAGCGGGGATGCAGCAGCTGCTTTCAGCACTCTCGTCGAGGGATAGGGCGAAGCCCTCGAAGATGTGCGGGAACGGACACGCTTTGGTCGGAGCTCCGAGGGTAGCGGCCCGTAGTTCTGGACGGAATGTTCTAGCAGCGCTTGCATGCCGGCAGGATGTGTTGGCGGATCAAAGCCTACGAAAAGTCAGAACCTATACACTCGTCATGCGGATACACTTACATTGCAATGCAAACAACGAAAAAGGCGTGTCAACCCATACGCGTTTGCTCTCCGTTACCGCAGATTCCGCTTCATCACGCAGCTCGTAGTACCTCCTCAGAGCAACGATCCCGCGTTCATCATCCCGTGTAGCGGTAGCAGAGTGAATAGATGCAGTGTCTTCATCTACAACAAAGACCGGCTGGATGGCAGCATGACTGCTGGCTTTCTGCTTGTCGGGAGAAGACATTGGGGTTGCCTCTTCTTGGATCGTCTCGTAAACCGACGACCGCGAGGTTGGAGCATGTGAAAAGCGTTGACGGTGACCATGTCCCCGCGCTCGAGCACGAACTCTATTGTGCTGCACACTGGACATGGGATGGGTGGCATTGGTGAGCGCAGCATTGATCTCTTCAAGATCGATGCTCGACTGCGATCCTTCCGACATCGATGATCCGTCAGCAGGTGACAGCGGTGGTGTGTCAGATCCAGATGTTCCGGAATTCGAAGTACATGTGCTGGAGCATGACCGAGATAGAGGCTCAGGTTTAGTGCAGACGGTCGCGCCGACTAAGAACAGGCGGACATCAGACAAGACATGCGATCTCGCAGAGTAACTTACAAGAAAAGGACATATCCTCCCCGTCGGCAATGAGACAGCTTTCCTCCAAGCTATGCCTATCCAAAAGTCCCTGCTGAGCTCGGATCATTCGCTCTTCTCCAAACTTTGTAGACTCGGCAGTAGAGGCAATCGATGGCTTCATGACGATTCGAGCTTTAACTGCACCACCCTCTTCCACGTCGCCTTTCATTCGGAACTCTGAATGTTTTCTCTTCTCGACACGTATACAGGGTGACTTGTCGATATCCATAATCGATCCAATGGACTCTCTTCGTTCATGATGTCCTCCTCCAAGCATCTAAAGAGATACGGTTGTTAGCGATCTTTATCAATCAATATACGAAACCGAGCCTACGCTGATCATTGTATCATCTTCTCTGGGTCTATACGCAATTCTTGCATTCATACTCGGAACTGATGGCGGACGGAACACCGGCGGTGCAAGATGTCCCCTTTGACGTCCATACTCGTACCCATGCCCAAATGGCGATTCTTCAGTCTCACTCGACCCGATGCCGGTATGATCAAACAACGAATCCACTGCTTCGGACCTAGGGCTACCGACATCCATGGTCGAGTCAAACGAAGACTTTACACTCTCTGAAGGTGACGCAAAAATAGACGTTAACACCTCGTGAGGAGCGGTATCGAACATCTTGTCTCCAACACCCGGCCGCCCCAAATGCATCGCCGGAGAAAATTCACTTGCAGCCGAATCCTGAGATCGATGGTTGTGCCTCGCCCAAGCGGCCCTTCCAGCATTTGCACCACGTATCGCATGCAAATTCCCAACCGAGCTCATACCGTTCATCGAGTCATCCAGTCTGTGGCCACCGCCAAAGCCGATGCCAAAACTGCGATTGTAGCGGCTACTGGGGGGAAATTGGGACGAGATAGAGAAATTCGACTCATTTCGACGGCCAGAAGGCTTGAAGTAGAAACTGGATGCATCACTGTCGACTCTCCTCCGCCTGGGAAGGAACGCGAATGCATCATCCACGCTCATTGACATTGACGCCAATAGACTCTCCGAAGACGGCCTCTCCTGCAAGCTCGGAAGGCCACAGTCACCATAATAGGATGGGTCAACGACTCCAGGGTTGGCAACACGTCCGTAGGATGAGACTGAAGCGAAGCCCATCGCCGGTTCATACCTATTGGGCTTGCTATACGCCGCAGCAGAAGGAGGATAGAATGTGGGTCGATCATCGGGAAACTCAAAGCCCCTCCTTACTTCCTCAAAGGAGTCAAGGCCGGTGAAACTAGACCCAGAAGTATTTCTTGAGTGTCCTCCAGTTGGCCTCTTCGATGACGAGTCTGAGTTCACCCACGCGCGGGGCACTTCGGACACTTCGGCGAGGATGGACTTGCGAACGGAGTCATCCTTCATGTAGCTACCCATGGACAGTGAACGAGCATGTGCAGGCGGGGGGATGATATCAGATAGCGTCATTGGTTTCTCCCTTTCCTCTGAAATGGGAGGGGAAGAGCTCGAACCTCCGAATTTGAACTTGTTGGGTTCGCCGTCGGGCGGATGCGAACCTGAAGACGAGGGGCTCTTGAACTTGCCGCACCCAGCTCGACCGGACTTCTCATCGGTGAGGCTGTCTGTCGCAGACAAAAGAGTGGGTTGCTTCATATCGCGGACCTGCGAGGTGGTGTACATGTCGAAGGAAGATCTGCTCTTCGACAGTTCTTCATGCGAGGCAGAATCACGCAGTAAAGTGGGCTTCTGTACGTCCTTGAGGGCAGTCGCCAATTCGGTCCACTCCTGCAAACTGTCACCTGGAACTCGAGGCGGTGGTAGAGATGGAATGGAGGGGATATCGACCTGTAAGAAACCATCCCTGATAGGACCTGTTAAACTGTAGCGCAAATCAATCTTTGCTGGAGTCCGGAACGCCTTCTCCAACTGCTCCACGAAACTATGGCGATCAGATTCACCCGACTCATTCAGTTTCCGCAGCTCGCCCGTGAAATCGAATGACTTGTTCATATCTTCCTCAGCGGACTGAAGGTCCGCATGGTGTTCCTGCTCGTCGACCACTTGTGCATGGAAAACTGGAGGAGCCGGAACGTCAACCTCCATCTCCTCGTCGACAAATGACAATCCCCCCAGTCGATCATTGATGAACGATAATGCTTCATCATGATGGTCCATCGCATCATCCGCGCCGCTCCTCTTGCCACTCTCGACAATCTCCCAGTAGTCCATGATTTCCTCCTCCTCCTCAGCCTCTATTACCGACACTTTCTTCCCATGCAGGATGAACTGGAGCTCATCGGGGATATCAGAGTCGGGATCAGAGACGTCGACGTCCTCAGCATACGCAGAGACATCAGAGCCACCCATAGTTCCCTTCATACCAAGCATCTTACGTGCACCCGGTGCGAGCGGTCGTCGGGAAGTCGTATCCTCGTGTTCGGTACTAGCCCGAGATGCTCTGTTATCGGCGCCCAACAACGCCCTCTTTCGCATGAAAATGGGATGATTCTCCAGCTCGTTGAAGCCCTTGGAGGACGTCGAAGTTCTAAAACCAGTGATAGACGGCCTGAACGTTGACGGAGGAGGTCGTGCTGCTTTCTTGACACTTTGGGTGGGACTTTGTGCAACAGCCTTCAAAACTCTGGACTTCGCAGGTCTGAGCGGTCTCAGTACAGGTGAAGGATCTGGGGCCGGCCCAGGTGTAAAAGTCCGTTCATGAGTACACGTGAAGGCCGTGGACAGGGACCGTGGCGGAGGCGGAGGCGACGAGGGCGGTTTGACCGGAGGAAGATTATCAAGCACTGGCCAAGGAGCAATCTGCTTCCCGAGCTCAAGCTCACTCGCACGCTCCTTTACAAATCCTATTTCGCGCTTCTGCCCAGATTGAACGTCTGGAGGAGAGGTGCGCACGGTAGCTTGTGCATGTGGACGCAATGAAGTGATCGATGGTCGTGCTGGACGCAATGTCTTCGCCTTCATCTTTGTAGGAGTCGTGTCGGACACTCTTGTATTCCGTCTAGCAATAGGCGAAGGATCAGATGTCCCACCGGGTGTAGCCTCCAAGTCCAACGTATTGATCAGCATTGCGAGGTCATTTGTCACTGCGTCCAGGACCGATAAAGCGCCTAGGAATAACGTTCAAAATAGTGAAAGAAATGCCAGAAAATAGGACAGACCATCTTCAGGATCCTCGTAGATTCCCCGAGGCCTGGCTTTGCCCAGAAGTTGGTCAGAAGCTGGTCTTGGACGGGCTCGACGGACAGGCGTAGCCACCAGCACCTCATTCGTTCCAGGATCCTCATGACCATCACAAGTAGCAGTCTCCACTGTCACAATTGGGCACTCTTTGCTGTTCACAGAACCAGGCGGACCTTCCCCTACTTGTCTCGCTTCTTCGCCCTCTCCACCCATACCGATCTCCGGCAAAATATCATTCAATAAGGTCCTTTTCCTCCCTTCCGAACTCCTCCTACCCTCCCGACTATCCCTTCTCTTCTGCTCCTCCTTAATACCTTTCTTGATCCCTCTTTCCCTATCCCTCACCTCCCTCACGGTCTCCAAACCCGCTTCATCCCACTTTACCGATGTGCCTGAACCTGATGATGCGCGAGAGGTACGCGAATTCGGACGAGGCAAAGAGGCAGTGGACATAGCAGAGGCCGGTCTGGCCATGACCACCGCAGACTCAACCGAAAATCGATTGTTATCGACTACCGGAGGAGGAGCCTGAGACGCCGTAGAAGAAGGCGTAGATCTGCCTCGTGTAGCAGGCAGCTTCATCGTCATAGCCGAAGGGAGGCCAAGCCCGAGGATGCTTCGTTTCTTATTGAATCCAAGAGTCTCAGTAACCTCAGGACTGGTCGTCAATGCACCCGCCTCGAAGCTGCTAGTAGAGGGGGGCTTGAGCTTGGGCTCCGTCACCTTCTTCTTCTTCTTCTTCTTCTTCTTCTTCTTTTCAGTATCCTTCTTCTCAGTCTTCTCCTTCTTCGGAACGTCCTTGTGCTTTTTGGGCGCCTGAACCTCATTACCTGGATTCTTCAGTTGAGCCCAGCTCCCGATACGGGCTAGGGAACGCATAGCACGCAGCGCGATGGAACCCTGGCGTGGATTCTGATTCTGATCATTGGGTGGTGCAGGAAGTCCTCCAAGCGTCGGTGTTCGTGAACGGGGCTGAGGCTGGGGAACGATCTCAGGAGAGGAGAAATTATTCGCCTGATAAGTAGGACTGAATGTGTTCGGGGCAGAAAGTAGCGCCCCAGAGTCAAGGGAATTGAAGCGCGTTCTAGCCTCTTGCGGAGGAGATTTGAAAGGCTCGGGAGCTGAAAATGACTCTATGAGAGATTATTAGACGAAAGCAGCACGCAGACTTACTCTTCGACCTAGGTATAATGTTCGGCCGTTGCGAATCCTTGCCCTTGTCTTTCGCTTTGTCCTTCTCCTTCGAATCTTTCCGTCCTCTCCCCATTGCCCACCATTTTTCCTTGCTCCCTTCTTCTTTCTCCTTCTCCTTCTCCTTGGCCTTCGCCTTAACAGGTGGCACATTTGTAACTTCTGTCATGGATCCACCTCCCCACCCCATCCCATCCAATGCCGCCCTGGATTTCTTCTTCCTCACTAAAATAATCTCTTCGATATCCGGATCCTCGGTAGGATCCACGTAAATTTCAAAACCTCCCCTGGCAGATTCGGTGTTACCGCCAACGCGCCGAACGACGTCGGAAAAGTCCCGCATCTTCTCCCGCTCCTTGATGCCTCCCCCAACGCCTAGCATGCTGAGTTTGGATTTCTTGGGGACAAGGCGCTTCCTGGGGCTGGCCTCCTTGGGAAGTGGAGTGAGCGCAGAGGGACTCGCCCTTGAAGCCCATGGTGAATCGAGAGGGTGAATGGCAGACGGCTCAGATGACAAGCCTGTTGCAGAAGGCGTGGTGCCAACAAGGCGAATGCCGGGGACATCGGATATTTCTGGTGGTGGTGTTGTTACCGCTCTTGACTGTTGAAGCAGTGGATGGCGCAGCGTCGTCATGATAGTTAGTGTTGAAAATCGTCAAAAACCGGGAAGTTCGTTAAAAAGATCAAGCAGAAACAGAAATGTCGTAAGTCGAAATATCAATCGTTAAATCAGTCGTGTTATTGTGTCAATTGAAATGAGCCGTAAAAAGGCGGTTAGTTGTAATTGTTGGTGAGTTTTGCGATATCGGGCAAGTCTAGAGATTCATGTCAGAGGCCAGCAGCGCGTGACAACCACAGAGCACTTACTTATTCGTTACTCACCTTGAGTATACGTATGCTAGGAAGGATGGATATCACCCTTGGAAATCTGATGACGCGAACTAACGGTCAGGACGATGATGGTGAACATGAAGAGCGCAAACGCACAAATTCTCGACTTTCCTCAGGACTCCGGACGCTCTAACGCTGAGCCCAGTCCCCTCTGCCGCAACAGAAATGCCCTGCCTTCCTCGACTCTGGATATCTATTGGCGTAGTCAGCATATGCTACCAAGAGCAACAATAACAGCTAGGAAACGCGCCTACTCGTTTTACCTCTAACCCAAAATCGGCTGCCAGTCCGTCAGAATGACGGTCGAGGGGGAGAACAAAGCGATCTCCGACGGACGGGAATGTTGAACTTCGATCACGTGATGGTGACCATAACGTTAAATTTAGATAATTATTTTAAATTTCAAATTTCACCAACGAATTTGACATTGATCTTCGCTTACATAGTGCGCAAGCGCATACCGAAATAGGTTGGAAATAGGACCAAGAAATCACTAACAGGAACCTTGACAAATGCAATTGGTGCCCGATACTGTAGTGACATCGTGAACTTTCTATGAGAGGTTGTGCGTTCTCCAGAAAGGAGCGGATAATGTTGACAATAACATCAAGGGACAGGAACATCGACACGTACGGCTATGTAAATGCTTCTGGAATAAATTTATTTTAGCAATTTTCACAGCTAACGCAGCGGTGAGAAATAGTTAGAACTTATTACTGTCTCCAGTACGACGCCGGAAAGTGACTATCTCTAGGACGGCTTTTTATGAGATCCCTGGTCCCAAGCATAGCCACGCGCAGGCTAGTAGGGCGACCATCCACTAGAGAAGGTGAGCACTAACAGATAAAATTTCACCGTCCGAGTCGCCATGCTAATCTTACGAAGTCTAGGGGAAAAAATGTGGAGCCGTAATATGTAACCTAGTTGATATGCTCAAAGAAAGGCTGGCAGGAGTCACAGTACTACTTGCGAGGCAGTCCTCGGTGGTTTGGTTGTAGGAGAGAGGGGTACACAAAGGGACGGAACGAGCAACGGGGAAGCTACCGGTCTTCTCTGTATCCTATTCTAGGCACGCACTACTTATGCCTGTGTTAAAGAGTGCCACTGTGCGTCCCGGTCACAAACCATGCCCAGGACATGACGAGCTCCTGTACGGCCATTCAACGTAGGAGAAAATGTGCGCAGGCAGAGGTCGACCAAGTAGTGTCTCTCTCGTTTATACTTTTAGAACCTGAAATTGTCTCCAACCCATACGGCTAATGCTAATTCCATACCTATCGAAATTTTAAGCTACGGGAATAAACCGAAAGATACTCTTTGACTACATATCGCCTACGTACTCGATGTCCTTTTCTCCACCCACTGCGACATTTTACAAAAATTTTCTCCTTCCAGAAATATCACAATCATGGACCCTTGGTGTAATATACAGAAGACAGATTAATCACACCCAAATAAAGGCAGAGAACGATACGAAATGGAGAAATTGAAGGAGCAAAAATTGTAGGACAAAAAAAAACACAGAAGTAAAAGGTCGGACTTTAATCAAAGACCACGACGGTATCGAAGGAAAGCTCGACATTCGCCCTTCGAGTCATCAGACTTTCCTGCTCTCCGACAACCTCATCCCCGAATAGATCGACATGGACCTTCTCGAACGACGAGACCTCTAAACTCGAAGCTCGGGCATGCACCAACTCGGAGAGCTTGGGAAAATCGACTCCTCGGCAGCATATTTCTGTAAGCGCTGGACACGGTGTCAATGAACCCGGTTTCAGCACGTCCAACCAAACATCATCCACAGCAGTCAAACACATTTTCCCCACGGCAGGAAACCTGCAGAGAAATCTTCGCGGTGCATCGCTGTCACAGCAATGGATTCCATGCAGCTCCAGCGTCAAGAGCTTACTGTACGGGACAAAATCCTGGTTTCCCACAAACCAGTCTAGAAGAACCGTGGCATCCGGCAAACTCTCGGCGTCGTAGAAGCTCAAGCTCCTTGACAAATCTTCGAGGGCCAGCTCCACTAGAACCGGTAGTTCCATATGCTCCAGCAACCGGATCGCATACTCCGTGTCGACAAAACCGAAGGAGAACCGAATCAGGTTGGGCAAGCTAATGGTCGTCGCACTCGAATGCGGCAGCACTGCAGGATCGTCAAACCTAGGTCCCCACCCCACAATGGAAAGACACCTCAGCTCCGGGCATCCTTCTAAAATGGCTGTAAATTCCCGCAAAGTCGGCATAACGTCGCTCGCATGGTACTTGAGCTCCAAGTCCACCAAATTCCTCAGTCCCGATCCCGTCCAATCAACATGCACTCCCACCAGTCCCACCTCCTTCAACGCCGATATCCCCTGACCCCCAAAAAGCCGCAGCGGCTCCTTCAACCCTACGGGCTCGAACGTCTCCCCCTTTCCTACGAAATACGCGTTGCACCGCGACAATTTCACGGATCTCAGGGACGACATATCCACGCGCTGAGTCTCTTTCAGAAATGTCCACATTGGTGCCCATGTGTCCGTGAGGACGCTCAGGGACCTCCATCGGTTCGCGTGCGGCAAGAGAAGGCGCAGCACCACCTGCATGTCCTCTGGCCCGAACCCGTGTGAATGCTCATCCCAGTCCCAATCGGGGTCGCGAAAGTCCAGGTACAAATCAAGGGGATGGACCCTGGAGCGGCGGAGCCACGTCAAAGCGCATGAAAGCTGCCCGACGGAGGTAGGGAACGTGACGATAATATCCGTCCACAAGCTACCCGTAGAAAGCGCGACATTGCGCCACCGCGAGCAGACGTGGGAGAGGTGTACCGCGTTTGTTTGGCTGGAAGCATAAAGGAAGATGTACGATAGTAGTTCGTTGGGTACGCGTTGAGCAAAGCACGAAGCCGTTTCGAGGGCCATGATCCTCGTGAAAGGATGGAAGGAAACCTGAGTTGAAATGAAATTATCGACTTGGAATTGCCTTTCTGAGCGAACAATGGGCGTAGTGGCCATTGTCTGGCGTACCTGACTAAGAGTAAAATCCAATAACAGAATGCAAAGCAACAGCGTACGGGAACGTGGACGCAGGAAGGGAAGAGGTGCTGTGACAAGTCATATCACAGCTGTGGTGCTGAAATAATTTATACGTCTTCGGTACCGGCCATCACCTTCCAAAATCCCCACGGTTCGTGATATTAGGCGCGCACGTATACAAGAAACCCTCCCATTAAGGCGATAGCGTTCCAGTCTAGGACAAGGTGATGCCGCGAGGCGACCCCCGTGTCAAGCTAAGCGACATGTTGTATGCACCTGTATGTTGCAGTGGGTCCTTCCATCTGTTCAGCAACACGATATCCCTGCTTCGAGGTGACGGCGACCTTAGAAACATATTGTGTTTCGCATTTATCGCCTACAATCACCTCGCCAAGGCAGTACGGCCATACCATCACGGACTCCAAGGCGGCGGATCTAGTAGCAAACAGCAATAGGCGCCCAGGTATGATCGGCATTCCGACCAAAAGAGCTAGTTCACGCACGACATATATACATTCCATCGTCTTGGTGACGTTAAACGGTTGATGACAGCTGGTTAGAGCTTGATTAAGGGGATTATCATCCAAAAACAAGTGCGAGCCTCGTTCCAATCCTAATGAAGGATACGTAATCATCAAGGCCGAACAGCTCCCTTCCGATGGGATAATGAGAACCTCGGCCTTGTCCCTGTGCAATTGAAGATCCAGAGCCCAGAATGGTGTCCGTTGTTTACTATATGGAATAACAGAACTTATGTCCGAGAACGCGTCCACGCCTGGCACATGCTTGGCTCCCTAGTCGAAAATATCGGAGGAGAAAAGTGTGAAGAAAGCTAGCAACCGCATCGATCCGAGCTGTAAACAAGGGATAAGTGATAGGCGCTGGTTCACAGATACCTCATGTCGATACATTGAATTGCTCCCACATACTGTTTGTATACAGACACCAGTAGCTGGATTAGCAGATAAAACCCTGATGCAAAGAGTCATCTAACCACAACGACCGAAAAGAAATTTCCCAGTTGATTTTTACTTACTTCAAAGCACAAGACTATATGAAATTCACTCACCGGAACTGTTTTGTACTTCAGGTCCATCGGTTATGTCCGTCACAAACAGTATCCTGCTGAACCCGAGAATGTTGCCTGTTTGGTAGGAAGGCTGTTACTCCGTATGTAACTAGGTGAGCAAAAGGAGAAGTGGTGAAACAAAGATAACGGACCCGAAACATTTGCGCGCTAGTTGGTTTCATCAAGTATAGACCTTGCACCACACTCGGCCACTGATATTGAATCTAAGTAAAGAGAAAAGGGGGTAGGGATGCACATACTAACATCGACCACCATCACCTGTAGGGACTCTGAGTGATTGGCAGTCGCATTTCCGTGAAAAGCTTGGAAACTGAGGTGCAAGTTACGACGCCGTAGCTTGGTAACAAGAGGCGACAATACCTCAACTCCCTTTACAAAAAAATCAGATGAAAGAAGGCTTACTATCAGGCAGATGACAACGGCAGGATCATAATACATAGATCTCCATACTTTGGCGACGGTGATAAATCGCACGACCGCAAGAGCGGGGAGGAGTTGTGGCTGTGCCTGTTGGCCGCCGAGTCTCCATATCGTGCTGCTGTCACTTTCGTGAATCGTACCGATTGTGTAGAAAGGCAAGATCCAACGTTGAAAATACATCAGGGCGAACAAGTCAAAGAATTGAGATAAGCAAGATTATCAATCATCACTACGGGCCTCCCACGATTACTCAGTGGATCGGACCAAGAAATAACTGGCGCCGACAAGCTTCAGTCCATACTTCTTTCCGAACTCAATAGCGTTCCAGCTACGTCTCTGTGTCATTTCTGCCCCGTATTCAACGGCTCCCTGAGGGACAGAGAAACCTGCTGGCTCTTCAAACAGGAGGAAAGCTACGGGTGCTAATTAGAATCTCATCAGTGCTCGCAACTGATCACAAACTGTATCTATGAAGACCCGTGCCAGGAGGAGGTCCAGGAGGTCGATAAGGCGTAGTGGAGGTCTTGGTCTTGAAGGCAGTGAGATTGGTCGTCTCAGAAGCGCTCTCTATAGGCGACTTGATTCCAGTAATCTACATTAGCACGTCAGATCGCAGAACAAACAACACTTGCAGAAAACATACCACCCAATGCCTAAACTGCCTAAATTTTGGCTCTGCTCGCGATGGCGCATCTGGATCCGTCATAACGAGCGTGTAGGTGGGCTCGCCTTCGGTGCCAATATTATTCTGCATGGGCATGAAGTTGATCTCTGGTTCATCAAAAGCTTCTTCACGAGTGAGCTCGGAGCCCAGCAAGCCCTCCTTGCCGGTGGGGTAGATAACCGTGAATAGAACTGAGGGGGAGAACGCTTCGGGAATAACATCTGGTATGATCTTCTCTCGTTCAAGGGAGACGATTACAGATGATAAGGGATCGGTGGACATGACTGGTGCTAGAAAAGTAGTACAATTTCCCGCGAGTGCTGACGGTGCTGATCGTTTGAGGGAGACCTTTGTCTGTCTTATTAGTCGTAGTCATTTGCCAGCCGGGCCGGCAGCGGCCCGTTCTGACCCATATTTACGCGTAATGAAGTAAATGGAAGCAGGTAGAAGTCGACGAATGAAGAAGTCAGTCCAAGCGAAGCTGCTATCATTTTAGTATTGAATGAAGCTTCAAGTCTCCTACAACTTGAAGAAAACCAGAGAACAACCATGAGGGGCGGGATTTCACTTGAAGAAGTGTATACATTTCCTTTCGATACATACACAGTATTTTTGAAGAAAAGGTTAATTTCTGACAATCGACAGACTGATGAGGAGAACCTATGACATATATGGTGAATTTACAGCAAAACAATCATTCTGTTCTGGATCCCTCACCCTCTCTTACCTCTCTTGCAGATATGGAATACCGTGTTCCTAATACTTAGTAGAGAGAACCGACCTGACTGTTGGCATGATGACGGCGGTCAAAATTGAGAAAGATTTGAATCAGAATAAATTTTTTTGATTTTATCCACCACGTGATCTAGACGCGTCGAACTGAATCAGTAAATAACTAATCGATCGATCTCAACCTCGTCAGTCCAAAATGATATTACTTCCAGCTAATCCTATTCAGAGATATTGAACGTAGCAATGAGTGTCGAGACGGACCCTACATAGCAAAGATGTGGCATCCAGGACTCGCTGCCGAAAAGCGACATTCAGACTCCGATCCGATTTAAACCTCCCGGGCCGGACATCCTTACTCTTCCACTTACTTTGAAGCTCTACCACAACTCTTGGCTTATCAAAAAACACAAATCGAACGCCTTTTCCAGCGTCATTACCAAAGCCGGTATTAACCTGAGGAATAGAGACCTTGTTGTAAATCCCTATGTCAACTTCATCCGACAATTCCGTCGACGACACGCCCATATCCTCCTTCTTCCGTCATCCCACTGGTATCCTTCTCACCGACCTCGACAAGGCGCGCTTCGACAAAGAGATACCCCTTCTCGAGCATCAAGTCAGATACTTCAATGAGCAGATTCCTCTCTTAGTCTCACGGAGGGACCAAGTCACACTCTCCCTAGCAAAGCGCAGATCTGCTCTTGCACTTGTGTGGCACCTCCCGCCGGATGTCCTCAGAGAGATCTTCTCTCAAGTGGCTGCTGATCATGATAGTCTCGATCTCAGCGGTGGCGCGTGGACTTTAGGACAGGTATGTGCTCTATGGCGCGACCTCGTTCTTGACACGCCTTTGGTATGGTCCAGACTCACGTTGAAGGGCGTATACACCTCTCAGTCGCTCCAAGTCCTCGCCGAGTATCTTCGCCGTTCACGAAATTGTCCGCTGCATATCAGAGGAACGTTTATTGTACATCCACAGTCGGCCAGTGTCGATCTCTTTGAGGCGGTCTTCGAGATGCTAATAAAGAGCTCGCCACGATGGAAATTTGTATGTTTCGTGATACCAGCGGAATTCCTTAAGCATCTTTCTGCTCTATGTGGGAAAATGCCCCTTTTGGAGGAGGCTCGAATCCATTTGTGTACCTATTGCCGCGATAATCCTGATGGTGTCGAGTGGAGACACTTGTTTTCCAATATCCCATCTCTACGAAAGATGTCCCTTGACGGACCAATGCTTTCCGAACAGATGTTGACTTGGAACCATGTCACTCATTTCGCGGGAAATGTCGTTCGCCCAGGCGATATCAGGACTATTTTTAAGCTTCCCGCTCTTGTCGAGTGCCACTTGCGGTGTTACGGCTTCCTGGATGACTCTCTACAATCACCCATTCGGCACAACCGCGTCAAATATTTGGCTGTGAATGCCACGCGCGTGTTGGCCGTTCTCATGTTGCCCTCACTGAAGCACCTAGAAATTGACGAGCAATATGAACGAAACGAGCGTGTCTATGCCGAAGCGATGTCGGCTTTCATGGACAGATCTTCGTCTCACCTGCGCAGCCTATCCATGACCTGCAGGTCATTCAGAACACGGCTCAGACAACCCTATTATACGCAGATGGTCGAGGATTTTGCCATAACTATCCACACCTCTGCGACATTAGTAGCAATGTTCTCCTCGAACAGGTGTGACCTCTTTCCTAAACTGCGACGACTCCGTATCAGACTTTCCAGGGGAGTTTATCTCTCGAAAGATGTCCTGCTGCTCGTTAATTTCATCAGGGAGAGGTTGGATGAAGCAAAGAGTGTGGCTCTGGGTGTCGAAAAATTGGATAAGGTGTACATCTCGAGCCCGGTGCCATCCCATTTAGACAAATTTAGGAAGTGTGGGTTCGATGAATTTGAGATTGGTGTGTTGACGGTCGAGCAGCAACTCCACTACTTAGACCCGCCTTGGTTTGACCGTGCAATAGTAGCAGATTGACCTGGATATATACATGATAGATACGAAGTTTTCTGTTTATCAGCTGCTAGAATGTGATAATAAAGAAGTGTTTGCTGGCGATGTAATGAAGTTGCCCTTGGTCCCACTCGGCGTCTGAGAGGAATGATTCTGTCCCCATGTCTGTCTAGTATGACACTATGCACCGGTTCAAGACGGATCTGGGGTCGCGTTCTGCATGGTACATTGTCTAAGACGGATCTAGGGTTCGTGGCACGATAACAGAGAGCAGAAGTACCGGCACCAAAAATGGACATGGTCACCCATTGGATGATAGGCTCATATTCCGTGAATTCTGGAGTGATGGAACGGAAGGGGTGAAAAATCGGCTTCACACGGTTACATGCAACACTTTAATAATCAAGAGAAGCCATGGTATGAAGCAAAGTAATTGTGATATTATTTTTCATAATGTATACTAGGATAGCAAAGATGCAAAGAATGACCATAGTAGCCCAATTGGCAGGAAAAGAAATCCACAACGAGAAAGGAAAACAGATGGTGAACTAATCTACCGCCATAAAATCACCTTCATCCTCTGCAAGGACAAAAGGAAAATACTCGGGCTGAAAATTGACAACCATCGACTCTGCATACGGCCGACGGTTGTGTATCCATCTTGCCAGCCCGACCTTGTCCACTGTATCAGGAAGCAACAACTCCAACCTCTCAAGACCAGGTCCTAGGTACCGGCCCCCCGATGCATGCATCAGCACTCTCATGCGACAGCGCCAATACTCTACAATGTACGAGTACTCAGTCGGAATCGACGTCTCGAACCTGAGCTTCCGGAGCGATGGAAGGAATAGCGTCGAACGCGGCGGAGAGTAGTTCATGGACTGGAGGAACATCGGGTCCGGTCGGACAAGTGTGAGCGACTGCAGAGCATTGAGCTGCGATATGAATCGCATTGGGTCGGGATACTCGTCCTGAGGGACCTTACTATTGCGTATCGCCTCCCAAGCGACCGTGCGGTGCAGATTCTCCCTGGGAAAAGACACCGCTTCGATGTACAGTGCGGTCAGCTGGTGCAAAGGCAGCTCGTCCACCAAGGCGTCGAAAATATCAGCCATCTCCTCCTGATGTTGTGTGTCTTCATTTAGACAGTCTTCCAAATGCTTCAGCCGCAAGTTGGTGAGCGCGGGGAATTCGGCTATTCGGAGTATGGTAGAGAATTCCTCGATGTACCCGAATCCGATTCTGAGGGTGTGGACGGCGGGGAGGGGCAATCGAGCGCTCGGGAGGCCGACGGAGGTGTGAAGGACACCATTTAGCTCCAGGATCTGCAGGGTGTGCTGGCTGTTGGCTAGAATCACTCGCAGGAGGTCATCATTAGCACGATAGAAATCGGGGATATTCTGGAGGACAAGTTCGACCAGGTTCCTTGTAGAGAAGGTCCATTGGTGCGGCGTCGCCCAAAGGCGGAGGCGCTTCAATTGCGGGAAATAGTGCCTCCCAATACTGGCCAGTTCATCCGGACTGCACGCATCGCCACAGTTTGTGAGGATATTCTCACTCTGTTCTACATCGACCTTAAACATATCGGCATAGACGTGGAACAAACCGATATCTTGGACGTTGCCATATTCAACGCTCCAGCTCTCGACGAGCGGGAGGCGAAGCCCCACCCATTGGTTGACTATCAGAGTGTATATCTCCCAAGAGCGCGTGCGGACTGTGAGGCTTTGAAGGCGGTGCACATGGGCGGCGAGTATGTTACCGAGGTGAGTGGCATGGGAAAGCGTGAAGCCGTCCGTGCGGGGTTCAATGAAGTCGCCCAAGTCTGGATATCTCTCGTATCGAGGGAGTCCGGCATATCCAATCGAAAGGTTGAAAGGAAGTTGGCCGGAATTGCGTAGATAGACGGAAAGTGCGGGAAAGACGTCTTGGGGATTCGCACCCACTCTGCGCGGGTGTCCGACCGCAGATTGATTGTTGACCCTGATGTTCGTCCAGAGACGCGCTTCGGAACTGACGATGCTGCGACAGTCCCTGGAGACATGACTGAGAGCCAATGGGACGTTGTAGTCGGGTCCGTCGAAGGTGGCCATGTGGAAGATTTTGAGGACGAGTTCGATGGGGAGCATCTGAAATGCGCGCACGGGGACTTGAACAGCTACGGACATGGCTACAGAATGGGTTGGTAGGTGGAGAAACGACAAGGAAAGGCACGTACCGAAAGCTGGATATTAGTAGAGAGGAAAGAGAGATATTGGAATACAAGTGAGGGTGAGATCGAGGTATCGTCTCCGGGACGAAGAGATGTGGTATGATGCCCTCGACAGAGCAGGCCACTGGTATATAAACTGACTCCAGGTGCCACAAAGCCACCTCTTCCGGGGGAACTAAGCAAGCAAAAGACATGCAACAAGACAATTGACGCGCCAATCAATCGGACAATTATTGTTTTGTCTTGTGCTTCCTTTCTAGTATATACGGCGCCGGACATAGCAATGATATGTCATCTTTATGAATGACCAAGAGGCCATGCTTCAAATTATCGCACAATGTAGAGTAAAAATGCACAGCTTACCATTAGGGCTGGAATCAATCCCTCCTAGTGCATTTCTGCAGGCCTCTTTCCAATCAATGCAGAAACGTATCATTCAGCACGATGAGCCTAGTAAATTTCAATCATCGTCGCAAATAACGCTCCAGTCCTCGAACTCTACTCTCCCTTCTTGAATTTCCAGCAGACTCTTCTTCATTGCATCTGCAACAGGGGTTGGTCCCGGCAACACCAAATCTCCCTCTCCACCTTCAAGCCCAATCCTCCCAACCGATGCCACAATAATCGCCGTGCCCATCAAAAACACCTCTGACAATCTCCTTTGGGCACTCAGTGCTTTCAACTCTGTCATCGTCACCTTCCTTTCCGCTACCTGCGTTCCCCTTTTCTGCAAAAGCTCCATCACCGACATCCTCGTCACTCCAGGAAGAATAGTTCCGTCGAGTTCGGGGGTAACGACATCGACTCCATCCCCGGCCTCCCTTTTGATAACAACAAACACATTCATGACTCCAGCTTCCGAGACCACATCATCCAGAACCCACAAGATCTGGTCATACCCCTTCTTCGCTGCGACACGTTGAGGGAGTAATCCAGGGGTATAGTTGAGCCCTAGTTTGTGCCCTCCAGTTCCACCGGGCCACGCGCGCACACTGTCGCTGACGGCGAGGAGCGACACGGGCTTTGCAGGAGTCTGTCTGAAGAAGGGTCCCACAGGAGTGACGAGAACATACAGCAGAGCGTGATCAGAGGGTGCTAATCCTAGGGCCGCTCGCGTACCGATGATGGTGGGTCTGATGTAGAGACTGTATCCTTCAAGGGCGGGTATCCAGCGTTTCTCGACCGAAACGAGGCGCTTTATGAGCGTCAAGACCGCATTTTCATTGAATGGCTAACACCGGTGTCTGTTAGAATGGCTGGAGATCGTCGACGATGCGAAAAACGTACGGGGAGTGCGCAACGTCCGGCGGACCGTGCTAGGCGCGCCATGTTCTTTTCGGGTCTGAAGAGCCGGGCCTTCCCGTCTGGACCTATGTACGCCTATCACATAAGTGCGAGGTTAGTTAACGGATAACAAGGAGTGCTTGGATTCCACCTTCATGCCTTCAAAGACGCTGGTGCAGTACTGAAAACAAGAGCTCATCGGGTCCAACGACAGTGGAGCGTAAGGCTTGATTTCGGGCGCAGACCATCCCGTTGAAGGGTCGAAACTCACGACGAGCATATGGTCCGTAGACACCTAACAAAAGACGATGAGAAGCAGGATCATCGTAAAATCGAACCCAGCGCCATACCGATCCGAACACCAGCGATTCCGGTGCAGGCATAGGCTTGAGAGAATTAGCGAGCGTGATAGTGAGCTTTGACGCCTAGTGACAGTTAGAACAATCTAACGGTAGAGATCAAGGCTGGCATACATCGAGGTCTGGGACACGAGAAATGCCTTCCAAGGACCCATTTTGTAGAGATTTCCAGGCGGCCATGATGTCTTGCAGTCAGGAAGAGAGATGATGGTAGGCTTTAAGTATACCAGTCGTCGAGTCATTCTTCGAGTCATCCGTCGAGTCACTGATGGGAACTGTCGGACTTATCGGGCACCAAAAGGACGACGTTTCAGCCCAGATCATTTTGGATTGATGTGTCAGTGTCGTTATCAGGTCTGTTAACGGTCTACTACCAGCCACAGCTTTGATGTTATAAAAGTCGCACATTTGCGAGGGTTGCCCGCTTGAGTCTGTATGACAGCTAGAGCTTTACCGTCCTCTTAGTGCAACATCTTTATTGGAAGCAGAGTGCAACTTGCTGAATAGGACAAGCCATCGTGCTTTATGATCAACATTTCCCGAGGAGCTCGTAGACTAGGTAAGACCAGTGCTTGCATCGTGTTTGGTTCAGAGGCTGTTGTCTTTACCCACAACCGGCATTTCCCGAGAAAACTCTGCCGGGAACACTTTATGGAAGCTCTGGCAAGTTCAGCACTCAGCCTGGAAAATAGCGAATAATCTTGCGCACCCTCGAAAATGCCCGATGTTCAGAGTAACAAATAGCACCTTTTGTGGTGTTTCTGTTCTCTTTGTCATTTCAGCAACTTAGCTCTGGATAGTCGTCTCTTCGTCAAATGTTTGGTAGCCTCTGTCCTATGGAGTCCGCCTGTCCAATTCATTATTCTACGATATACAACGGTGATACGCAGATCTTGCTCATACCTTCGATCGAGGAATAATCGGCGGCCCTCAAATTTAATTCTCAAAAGATTTGGCAATCAAGAGGCTGCTAGAAATTAGAATACGATTCTCAACTGCGTCAGGTTTTGTGTGCTTCGCCCAGAAGTGTGCAATTTTTCGGAAGGTTCAGATGGACCAAAAGAAAATCACTGTTCCCGCCGCGCTAAAATTCTTGTTTCGTCTTCCTGCAAGATAGGCAGTGGCGTTCAAACACGGATATTACCTAACTTCCATTCGAGCAGACCCACGAAGTAGTCCTGCGCTCAAAAGGATCCGGCTGTACCCTGGAGACGACATGTCCTATTATGAGTATGTTATCTTGTGTATATATTCTCTGAGAGGAGGCTGACATGCAACTCTATCTTTCGTATGGCTGCGAAGATCATGTCTATCGCAATAGCATTGCATCCAAGCCTCTAGCTCAAGTGCATCCCATAGCCTTACGGGTAAGACCATTATACCAAGATTCTCCTGACATCAGACCTCATGTAGGCATCGAGGAGTGGCGCGGCTCGGGTCTTCTGCATTTTTGCAACACTCTCTACTCGCTCCCGTTTCTGAAATGGAGAAATACCACATCATGGGATCACGTCGATCGTCTCGCCTGCAAGGTTGCCTCATGTTGTAGTAAGATAATCCGGCATCCTGCGGATACAATCCCGTGTGGTGGGCTCATATGTCAGTTTTGTGCATCAACGCTGGCTCGGAAATTACGTTCCTGCACGTGAGTGTATGGCTCTTATCGTAGGACTGCTCAATCACCAACGTGTAGGTTCACGAGTCGTATTTCTGTTAACCGACGGCTTCATTATCAGATACATCAGATCGTCGGTGTCGTTTCCTTCACAGCGCAGTAGGTTACTCCGACTATTTACATCTCCTCACATTTTCTTGCGTACAGAAATGGAGCAGATACCGTATCGATCATGCGATTCCATTCGGATGATATATCAGATGACTACTCCACCTACACTGACTTGATGCTCCGCTAGATCTGCTACCGGTCGTTTCAGAATAATTGCGGCGCCAGCGATACCACGCGACCATCAACAAAATTTGTAAAGGATACTGAAGAACGGTAGGACTGTGGATTCATCCTTTTCGCGCGCGGATACCGCGAGGCTGAAGGAAAGATGCCTTACCTACGTTGAGACATATAATGCGGACATTACATTCCTCTACTTAAGCGCTCTTCTCATAGTGGTCTTTCCAGCTGGCTATGGTATCAGGCAAACGTGTTCACTGGGACGATTCAATAGCAGACAAGCGTGCCGATGGGGATGGAGCGAAAAAGTTTCTCTCTAGCCGTCCCACAGCCATCCTATCCTCCACGGATGCTACGCCTCTTCGACGGGTTCCGATTCCCTCCACGACTTCGTTTATTCATCCTTCGCCGATTTCGTCCCAACAACAACAACCGATTCTCTCTCAATTTCCTGCAGCTAATTCTACCATCGCGGCGGTTACCCCACCTACTCGAAATGTTCTGGCTCCCTCTATTCCCGCATATGATCGAGCACCGCCAGCTCTGTTACAACACGGCACCTCTTCATATAATAGGACACACCCCTCTTCGGCTAATAATCCGTCGTCTCACCGTCAACGGGCTAATTCCTTACCAGTTGTTTATCATACTGGTCCAGCGCCGCCTCATCCTCATACACTACCATTTTCCATAACCACACTATCCCGGCCCCAAATCCCACCCATGGCGCCCCACCCGTTCTCAAATTATCCTTACCAGCTACCGCCTCAGAAGTCCCTGTTAGCGCTAGCGCCCAGTTCCCCGTACAACAATGCACCTCCAAATAGCTTAAAGCAGACATCACACTCGCCGCGGAGGCTCTCGATCCATAGATCTCTCCGCTTAGGAACATGCGAGCCTGTCGATTTCTTCGCGCCCCAGCGTGTCCGTCATGCCTGCGCATCGGAGCCGGCCTGCCAGCCTCCCCTTCCCCGTCTTTTCGTCCTCGTCGACACCGGCGTGGTCCGGTTCAATATCGAGGTGCTGCACCAGTATCAGGACCAGGGACTGGGCTCCGTCACGGTGGATGACGTGCTCGCGAGGGTGCGGAAGGTGTTGAGGGAGAGACTCGATCCGCAGACGCTTGGAGGTCCGTATGAGTGCGTAGAGGGACGGAGGAGTAGTAGTTTTACGACGGTCTGTGTGGGATTTACTGTGAGGGAAGACAAGGGGCAGGAGAAGTGGAAGATGCATTTGAGTAGGGTGGATGCGTTTACGAGGTGACGAACGAGACTGGTGCTCGATGTTGCGGATGTTCGATTCCACATTGTGTAATATAATAATACAGTGCTGCCGGAAAAGCCTGTTATTTTTCCAACCAGCATCGGCAAGGAAGCGCTTTTGGAGATTAACACAATGATTAATTATCATGAGCGCGAGAGTCAGAGAGTCAAATGAACAAACCGGTTCGAGGTGATAGCGTCGGGTAGCTGAATCATATCATGGGTCTCGACGTATGAAAAAATGAGATGTTGACAACAATGCTCGAGAATTACTACTATTTGTATAATGATCAAGATCCTCGTAGGCTAGGACACGTACAGCTGGATTTTTGACTCGAACAAACTGTGGGGAAGCCATTGTACTTTCTATCGGACATCCCATAAGCTTGGAAACACGGAGACCCGGCAATGCTTGGAACTTGACAGCATTCGTGGTCAATATCAAGGTTTTCCACTAGTATTCTCACAGACTCAGCACGTCGCGAGACTTGGGAAGCTGAGAGTCAGAAAAAGAAGGGATTAGGTTGAAAGAGGCTTACCTGGCCGTGTATATGAAAAGTTTAGTAAAGATATGACACGCATATGACGGCGAGTCGCAGACAAAAAGAGTCTGTCCAGTAAATTTATGTGCCTGTAAATTATATCGAGCAGCTAGCTGATCGGTAAAGTCGTGTATTGGAACTGATTCCATAGGTCCTCATCGGCCATTTTAATGTAATTTGTGTATTAATGCTTTTGCTCAAGGTGGTTGATCCACTCGTCTTGATAGCGCTCGGCGGTAGCAATAAGAGCGTCAATATCCACCATTAGCTTCTCCCAGTGCGCGTAAAGAAGGTCGAGGCAATATTATATATGTCAGCCTTTTGTTGACCCAGAGAGATGGTAGCACGCTTACAGTGCGAGAGCGTCCGGATATTTCTGAACGACCCTGCATCACTCGAGTCAGCTTCCTTGTTCGTCTGGCTATAGCAAGGCGGACGCAGTGTATAAAATCCTTTCAAGGGTACCTGCTTGGCCCCTTGCAAAATAGAAAATTCGGTACTGTACATCCTGAGTGTACTGATTCAAACCACAAGTTACATGAGGAACGCCAATAAATTTCATAAATGTTACAACGGCTATATCTTTGGTATCTCTTTCCCATCCACTAGTACTATAAAATCATCATTTTCGTAGAACATGGGGTTCTACAGATGGTGACATAATCAGGGCTTTCCAGAGCTGTCTCCACGATATCGGGTTCCCCTGAGGAATGATTAGCAAAGAATACGATGTCAGAGGAAGGTGACACTGACGACATCTCTCTGCATGACACAAAAGCTGCCCTCGCTTCCCCGATAAGTAAAACGTTCCACCAGCACCCAGCCTTTGAACATCTCCTTCCTACGATCACGACCCCCAATGCGAAGCCGAAGTATACCATCACTACTATCCAGGACCGGTTTACACTTGACCCCCAGACCCTCAAGACTTTCATGGATCAGCGTCAGAAGCAGAGAGAACCCAAGAGAAGCATAGAATCGCGTGAGGTAGGGTGTGTAGCGATTTCCGGACTGAGTTTGGGACTAGAAGGATATCAGCATGAGGGGGATCGTATAGTCCGCTTGGGGGGCCAACGCACGAATAGCATCAACGACTGTGTGAACTGCGAGCTGTGGCCGGCTGAGAACATCATATGATCTCCATCCGCATCCACTTCTTCTCTGAGAAAAGTGTGGGATCAGGCGTACACGTCAGTAGGAGAGGAAAAGGCTCACTCTGGTTGCGCAAAAGTTGGAGCAGCGAGATCAAGATCACCGCTATTTCTGAGCTTCTCAGTAAGTTTATCGGCTAGGGCCAATGCACCTCTCTGAGCGAGCTGACTAGACCTAAGTGGCTGTGAGTACGGCGCCTTTTGACAGACAGCCTGGCAAGCTACCTCATGCACCATGGATGCTGATAAATTTGTGATATCGACATCCTCTCTGCTGGATCTATACAAAGTAGACCAGTGAGGAGAGCTAAAATCCCCCTTCGTTTAGTTCGGTTCCATTTGATTGGCCAGCAAATCGCTTACACAGCGCATCGCCCCGGATGTGACACCACAGCGGGTCATCAAATATTTCGCCCTTTACGTAGCGAGCGAACTCTGTGCTGTTCACTGTGGGTTCATCCCAAGGGGTATCTAGTCATATCATTAACACTGGCACCGCAAGGCGAGATCATCAGTGAAACGTACTGCCCGCGAGAAGTGTGAAAAGAATGACACCCATACCCCATACATCAATGGGCTCGGCCTTATAAGGTGTGTCTAAAGCGAGCTTGGGAACCACATGAGGGGAAGACGGTAGGAGAAACAGTGATGTGCACACGTACTTCCGGAGCGACGTAAGGAAGGCTTCCGCACCGTTCAGTCAATGTTCGCGTCTTGCCGGATTCTTTGAGTTTATACACTGCGGATAGCCCAAAATCGGATATTTTGAGGGTTCCTGCAACGTCAAGAAGGAGATTTTCGGGTTTAAGGTCTCTGTGACATACACCTTGGTGGTGTATGTAGTCCTTTTTTTGATAGATGCACAATTCAATTCTTGACCACGAGAGAAAACTTAACGAACGCACCATGCCCGTAACTAATTGTTTGAAATAGAGATGAGCTACTTCATCTCCGACCCCAACATCGGGAGCTTTTCGTTCTTAATGAGCACACGAAAAGATGAGAAACAACTGACTCGTACCAATCTTATCGAAAAGATCGCCCCCTGCGGCAAGTTCGAGCAACATGTAGATTCCGGGATGATATAAATGCCTATGCTTGATCTCCACGACCACCGCATTATAAAATTCAAGCACATTATTGTGCTTTAAGGCAGCGTGGACACGCATTTCTTTGTCGATGGTCTTGCGCTCCTTGTCGGTTGTGGCATCTGTGAGAGAGATCACCTTGCATGCTGCCACTCTGTGTTCCTCAAAATTAACTGCACGAAATACGCTTTGGGCGTGTCAAAAGAAGAAATGAAATGTCAAAAGAAATGGAAGCACGCACGTCGAGAAGCCGCCTCCGCCGATTTGCTGCACGAGCTCGTGCCCTATGATCATCAGAGATTGGTCGATATAACTGATGTATAGCTTACCAGCTACTTTTGGATACTTCACTGCCGACATTGTGGGGCAGGAGGGGAGGAGAGCAAAGAAAGTGTTGAGTGTGGTAAACAGAAAAACGAACGCGACGCGTCGCTAATTATTTTGTCACGTGCAAATACGGAACATCGGTCCGAACCCGAAGGTCCAGTCCAGACCTAAACGCTCCCACCCCCGGGGGCCGGAAAAGAGGCCGATAATTAGGTGAGTTCGGATGCTGATCTAGAACATGCATCAGTACTTTTCAATGTGTTTTCGGTATTCGTTCGACTTGGGGATATCCCCCCCTGCTGTCGAGACCTCATTGGAATGATGGATCCGAAGCATCGCTTGATCTTATGATCATGACCTTGCCGGCGCTTTGATTTTTCCAGCTACACCACAGTATGTATCTCCAAATTACCCGCAGAAGCCGCTATTAAGATAAGCTCGGGTTCAGTCTGCCGGTGTGCCAGCAGAAGGGGTATATAACTCGAAACCAACGATGAATCTGCCACTCGAGTTATGTCCCTCCTCTCTTATCTCGCACTAGGTTACGCCCTCTACCTCGTAATACGCCTCACTTACTCCTTCCTCAAAAAATCACCTTTTCAACATATAAATGGACCTCCGGCAGTGTCCTGGTTCATGGGTAAGCACCATCCACTCTCTTCTCTGACAACCACCGGTTTGAGGGGAAAATCTACAGGTAATCTAAGCCAGCTCTTCAATGCGAAAGGTCTCCCGTTCCATCAAAAAATTGTTGATGAATACGGAGGTATGATCAAAGTTCACGGTTTTTTCGGGGTCGGTCATTTGTTCCGGCCTATCCAATTTAATCTAAAATCTGATACGTTCATTCAGGACGAGCAATTGTACATCTCAGATCCCAAGGCACTTCAGAGTGTTCTTATTAAAGACCAAGACGCCTTCGAAGAGACAGCTGTGTTCATCGAGTGTGTCATCCTTTGATAGACGCTTTGATCCTACGCGTCTAATTTCTGATATTTCTGACATGACTCATCAGAACGAACAAGGTCATCTTCGGACCTGGCCTTGTTGCTACTACAGGTGAGTAGCCCATAATGCGACCCCCAACTCCCAGATCCTTATCTTCCCGCTCGTCCCAGGGGACCAGCACAAACGACAGAGAAAGCTGGTCAACCCTGTGTTTTCCGTGGCACAGCTGAAAGAATTGATGCCAGTATTCTACAGAATATCCGATAGGGTGGGTAGAGTCCTCCCTCCACTCCTCTCCATGAGTTGACTCAATGCTCTCGTTTATCTAGCTAGCGGACGCCATGGAGACAGAGCATGGAGAGAACCCCGTCCTGGACATGTCTGAGTGGATGTCACGCGTCGCATTGGAGATGATCGGGCAAACGATCTTAGGCTATAGCTTCGATCCCCTCAGCTCTCGAGTGAATAATCCATACACGTCGGCCATCAAGGAACTCATGTGGGTCAATCTTCACATTGGACCTTCTTTTCTCTAATACTGGCTGCGCCGTAGACCGACGATCTTCTCCCTTTCCCTGATTCGGCAGTTCGCCCCGTTCCTGTCGAGGTTGGGGAGTCCGAGTTTCAGAAGATGGTTAGTGGAATGGACGCCGAATCAGGCGGTGCAGAAGGTGAAGAGCATTAGTGATGTAATGCATGACACGGCGAGGGAAATTTTAATGGTGAAAAGGGAAGAACTTGGGCGAGAGAAAGCCAAGAGTAACAGAGATATTATCAGTGTTCTATGTGAGCCCTTTTTCCCCATGCCCTTTTCTAATTACTCAGAGATGACTTTTCTCTGTAGTACAAGCCAATGAGAATGCTACTGAGGATGCTAAGATGAGCGAGAACGAGCTCACGGGTCAGATGACGTTCGTTTAGCTTTTTGTTGCACAGTGTGTATTTAAAAACGAGCTGTGCAGGGTCCTCATTTTCGGAGCGCAAGATACGACCTCGAGTGCCCTTTCGCGAATTCTCCATCTCCTTTCCGTCAGGCCAGATATCCAGGACAAGATTCGTGAAGAGCTACATACGGCTCTGCAGGCCAAGCAAAGTGGCGGAAGGCTCGAGTACGATGAGATAAGTGAGCTTCCTTGGTTGGATGCCGTGATCAAAGAGACACTTAGATTGTATGTTCGTTTTCTGCTTTTCATTGTCCTTGCGTCGGCTCACGCGGTACCTTTTTAAGATACCCTCCTGTACCTTTTGTTCGTCGCACGTACGTTACCGTTCGTGCAGTAACATCTATTCAGCAATTGATGCTGATTATTCTCGCCCTGCAGTGCTATCAAAGAACGTTCACTGACGTACTCTCCGGACGTGCACGATCTGGACTCTTCTGCTTCCGTTAGTGTTCCCGTAGGGACAACATTGTTTGTGGGTATCGCTGGTGCGAACAGACTTGAAAGTATATGGGGTCCGGACGCCAAGTCGTGGAAGCCGGAACGGTGGGTCAACGAGCAAGCACCTGGTAGGCGCGTGTTGCCCGGGATTTATGCTGGCATGTGGGTGTATATTTATGCGCCAACTTTTATTGCTTCCGATTACTCATGGCTACGCTTTCTTTGCAGGCTGTCGTTCCTCGGAGGCGGCCGATCGTGCATGTATGTTCAAGAGAGATATTTATCCGTTCTCAACGCCTGATTGACATTTTATACTTTTTTTCTAGCGGTTATAGATTCGCGCAGATAGAGATGAAGGTTCTGTTGGCGACGCTTGTTCTCAGGTTTCGGTTTTCTTTGACCGATGATGTTGTTGTGTGGAACCTTTCGCAGATTATTTCTCCGTCAGTAGTGACGAAAGGAGGCGAAGGGCAGAACGTGGAGCGGAAGGGGATGCCTCTCAGGGTGGAGGTGTTGTAATCGAGAAAAGAGAGGCATGGCCAGTAGAAGACCCCTTCCCATTGGTCTTCGTGGGAGATAAAGTCATAGAGTAGGATAACGACTCTGGATATTCATGGTCATCTATGTTAGCTGTGATCTTGTTGTAGCGAGTGGTACATAGTCTGTGGTTACATTTGTGTATCACCTTAACGAGCTAGTTCATTGGAGATCCTAACAACCCGAGGTGGGTGAGAGGAGAATTCCTTATGATCAGCTGGAATCCTTGGGGGTGAGGCGAAATGGTACTGAAACGACAACCCGTCTTCTCTTTGCCTTTTTTCAGCTACTAGAGTATCTTTTGTCCTTTCTCGTTGTCCCTGGTGTGGGTTGGCAGGTGGAAGCAAGACTTTTCTAGTTGGAAAAGGCGGGGAAAGCAGCGAGCTGAACAACTATGGTCTGTTCAGTGCTACAGGCTGTACGGTAAAGGGAACGACAAGGCCACGTGTTACTCCAATCGTGCCTGAATTCGCGCGATCCCATACCAACCTTCGTTCCGCTTTCAGAGCAGATGGGCTGCGGAAAGGCTAGGAGCATCTGGTATTCCATGGCCATCCCTACACAACAGCCAATGTAATAATGTCCAAATATTCAGTTTACGAAAGCAGAATATTTGGAGATGGAGTTTTCGGAGTTTAGCGGATGCACGAGGTGTATGTATCAAGGGCCGTGTCGCTACTCAACGCCGCAGACTATGGTCGTTCTATAGTAGCTGACCTGTGTTCCTGGTGCGAAATAGCAGACCGATGTTATGTTGTATTGGAAGTTGTGTTGCTAAAACAATTAACAGCTGCCAGGCCACAAAAAGTCATCCAAAAATTCAACGAATGTCAAGGAAGGTGAAAGAGGAAATTGTTCAAGACGCCGGCAGGCAGACTGGGCGCAGGCATGTTCCCTGTGTCTCTTTGATGCTTTGGACTGAAGACTGCCAAATGAGGATTGTGGGATTACGTCTTAAGCGCGTCATAAGCTTCAAGACCAGGGAGAGCTGGATTTACGGTATGGGTGTAGCATACGTTCCGAATCTCTGCGAAGCACACAACTTGTTGAAAGATGAAGGGGATCTAGGACTCGGCAGCCCAGTCAGTTGATGGCGCTTCTTGGCAACAGGGATCAGATTCTATCAATGGTCTGTTCCGTGCAGGACTGATCTAAATTTCTAGGCGCAGCCGCAAGGAATATAATGGGTGGCGTCTAGGAACGTTTTTGGCCTCGTGTCGATCCACGTTTTAAATCTTGGAACGAATCTTGATGAAATTCATCAATAATAGCAACACTCTTGATGTGGGCGTATTATCCTTGCGTCTACGGCTCGATTGGGATTGCCGCTGCCAGATGGCCCGGGATTTTGAGCGCCTGTTTTATGCAGTGATGTCGTACGATTTTAGTTCATGGAGGGAGGAGATACCAAAGCATATATTCTGAGGAGTAACTGTTAGGCCGGGAGCAGTGCCTCGAGGCGAAGGAATAAGGCAAGAGAACCAAAACAAGCATGTTTACATAAGCCATCAGTTGAGTCCAAATGCGTCACCTCATGACCCGCTTTCATTATACTTACCACCATCACCAAACCAACGTAGTCGTAGAACCATGATGAACTGAGGTGCCGAGGTCCATTGGGCCCTCCCCTACTCAGTAACGTTGTCCCAACGTCCGACATGGAATCTACAGAGGAAGTACAGAAAAACGAACTCACCGCTCTGCAATCCATCTACGCCGAAGATTTTCAACTAATACCACCCTCGAAGGCCTGGAAAGTGAGTGGGTTGGTTTTTATGTCATTCTCTATACCAACATGTCGTAGGGCGCAGCCAGTTTACCAGAAATTTCTATTCGAGTACGCCATCCTGAGCGCGCGAATATTGGTTTTGGTTTAAATGTCAAGTGCGTGGAAAGTGCCATGCCATAATTCAGTCAATGAACTTATTCCTCCAGATTTCCGAAAACGTATCCTACCCTCACATATCCCAATTTTACTGTACAGAAACCACGCGGTTTGGATCATGATCAAATAATAAAGTTGACCCATGCCCTCCAGAATGAGGTCCGAGCATCACCACGGACTGAAATGGTATTCCAGGTACGTATATGAGCTTATCCTTCCTTCCCTAGTCACCAGTTAGTGCAACAGATTGTCACATTCTGCCAGGAATGGCTGAGCGACAACGTCGCAGCGCCTGCAGAAGTTATTGGGTCACTGGCAGTGCAGATGAGACAGCGAGCAGCGGAAGAAGAGCGAGTTGCGTTGCACATTACTTTCCCTAGAGCTTCCACTGATGTTAATCTCTAGGCCAGACAAGAAGAGGCGGAACGCGAGGCGAAGGAAAGGGAGCAACGACTAGACAGGTTGGCGCGAGAGTTTGATGCGGACGTTCAAAAGCAGCAGCAGTTAGCTCGAGAGCAGCACCGAACCCGTCAACGTGCCAATTCTGAGACTACCGAAGTCCCGTATTCCGATGACACCCCCACCGAAACGTTCGACGAGGACATTGAAATGAATGGTGTTCATTTCGATACCGTCAAGTTCTTCCATCCGCGAAAGAGTATCTTTTTTTAAATATATGGTCACTAAATCCAGCTGACTCCGTAAAAGGTTGTCTAGGCACTATCTACAGCGCAGATCCCGTATGCGATGACACTAACACTACCCTCCCACTTGAACTCCACGTTATCACTTTCGACTCCCACTATTATACGACAAACCAAGGTAGGCTGTCATGTCAAACCACCTTTCCCCTCTTTTTATGTTCTCTTCAGGCAGAAAAAAGGTCAAGCAAGTTGAAGAAGAAATAATCCGATTAAAATCTGTCCGCCACCCAAATGTCGTCAGGGTATTGGCTGTCAAATTGAATGCCCCACATTCGAGCGGGGCCCCGCAGCTGGTCATTTTGTCGGAACAGAGTCCAGCCCTTTCCCTGAAAGATGTGTTGAGTGACTGTGACTGCCTTAGGGAAGACCGAGTTTCGGTACGCGTCCTTTGATGCGGTCTGGCCCGTCCATTGTGTTCTTATCATCTTTCAGGACTACATTGTGCAAATCCTCGCTGGACTTAATGCTATTCATGTCTGTGACTTGGTGCATCGAGGTTAGTCGTTTTTACTCTGATGATTTAAGTTAAAGTCTGAGTTGTTGTAACGCAGGTATCAATGCGGCGTCTATCGGTCTGGCCACACAAAGTTGTCCTTCACAATCGAAGCTTATCAAGCTCAGCGAAGTCGGATATCACACGCGACTACTAGACTTACATCGATCCAACGCCTTCGCTTGCGTGAATCCTCCGGAAGAACGTATCATGCCAGAGGCTTGGTAAGTGTTTGTCCCTTTGAATCTGTGCAGACCTTACGCGAACCTTTCAAGGTTATCAAAGGACGCCAAGAACGAATCGCTATTGTTATATACCCGTCAACGGGATATACATGCCGTTGGAGTCGTCCTTCTTCAGATGCTTCTGGGCCTTGATGTGACCGAGCGATTTGCTGACGTCCATACCGCCCTTCGGTCCTGTTAGAATACCCTTTTATTCTGCCGTGTCCTGTACTTATCTTTTCTCACAGCAGCCATACCACCGGCATTTCAGAGTCATGCGATGAACATGCTTGTCCCTCCTAAGAAGAGTCATATCAATTGTTTGACCCTTTTGGCTGATCTTGCTGAATCATCGCTGCATCGAACGCGCCGAAGTCTTTCAATATCTATGCCCGGTAAGTAGTACTCAACATTCCGTTTTCTTCGCTCACAGTCATTCAGAGCCCAAAACGCCGCTGCATGCATCTGTTTCGGGGTCACCTGAATTCGACTATTTTAGAGGACCAACGTACCGTCAGGCTAGCCGTTGGAAAGAAGATTGGGAAGAATTGGAGCTTTTGGTTAGTATTGACGCCTTCGACCGAGAAGCGAATCTGATCGACCACCTGTGTGTAGGGAAGGGGAGCCTTCGGCTCTGTAGTCAAAGCTCGTAATAGAATCGATAACCGTGTCTATGCCGGTTCGTTTCCGACCTGCTTCAATATTCGTTCCCCGTTCCCCTGACACATAATCAACTACAGTCAAGAAAGTTCGCTTACGAACCTTACAAAGCGATACAAAGATTTTCCGCGAGGTGAACGCTCTCAGTCGGCTGAGCCACCGCTTCATCGTGCGATACTATACTACCTGGGTCGAGACTGCCGAACCTACGTCGACTGGGGCGTCCGACGAGTCCGAGTCCGAGTCTGATTCCTATTCCCAGTCTAATGGCACCGAAAACGGCATGACCTCCGTTCCTTCGAGGATCCAATCGCGTGAGCCTAGTGGGCCGATTATATTCAATATGGATGATCTCGACGACTTGGGTGGAACATCGAAGGGGAGCTTCCCTAGTATACATTTCACGAGATCGTCGGAATCACAGGAGGATACGGACAGTGATAATGATACTCCGTTTGGGGGGCTGTTCAGGAAGGCGGGCGATGAGGATGGTGAAGGGTTGGGGACGTTGACGCCCACGTTGACTGTGCAGAGAACGTTATATATCCAGATGGAATTTGTAGAGAGGCAGACTTTGAAAGAGGTACGCTTGTTTCTTTTCTTTGGCAATGTCACGTTAGCTCATATCAGTATTTCTGTAGAGAGTCGATGAAGGTATATCAGAGTCCGAGGCGTGGCGGCTGTTTCAGCAAATCGTAGACGCACTGGTGCATATGTCGACTCTTGGTATCGTCAGTGCATCCATGGAGCGTTCTTGTGAAGGGTTCTCATACTTATGTCATCCTAGATTCATCGCGACATCAAACTGACTAATATCTTTATCGGTGAGTGTCTATCGTTTTCACCTTTTGAGATCAAGTTTTCATTCGCCTTTTGTAGATGCGAAAGGCGACTGCAAGGGTAAGTGGGTATTTGCATGGCGTCATAGACATCGTTGACGTTATTTCATAGTTGGTGACTTCGGTTTAGCCACGTCTAGTCTCGCGGCAGTGGATCCGTCAGATGTTTCACCGCGGATTGCTGCACAAGAAACCGATATGACATTAGGTAGGTCTGGTTATAAGGTCGAAGATTATAGTACGCTGACAACGCACTACCTGAAATAGAAGTCGGCACGCGCCTATATATTGCTCCGGAAGTCCAGTCGCGTCGAAGGAGGCCGACTAATCATACCAAGGCTGATATGTACAGTCTAGGGGTAAGCGTTCCCTCAGGTACCACATATCGGTTTTCTAACCTCTAAACTTTGCCTTGTCCTAATCGTTCATAATTGTGTCCTCAGGTCGTATTCTTCGAGATGAACTACTTCTTCACCACGGGCTCCGAACGTATTAGTGTCATTGAGGCGTTGAGGCGTCCCGAAATCATCTTTCCGGATTCGTGGGATTCTTTGAGGTTACCTCAGCGTGAAAGTATGCCACCACATGTCCATTTATTAGTATGGCACTGAACGCGTACCTATAGTTATAACCTGGTTGTTACAGCATGAGCCAGACGATCGGCCTACAGCATTGGAATTATCGCAAAGCCCATTATTACCCTCGAGACTCGAAGACGAATACTTCAAGGGTGCGCTGAAGATGATGAGTACGTGCCCGCCGTTCTTCCACTTCCATTCCTCTCATTAATTTCGTTTGATCGTGCAGCAAAGCCAGATTCTCCGCATCATCAAGCCGTCCTAGCTTCCTTGTTTCAGCAGCCTCCCCGACCGGTTCGAAGCTTTCTATACGATCATGAAGCTGAGCTGCCAGAACACGCCTCGCTTAACGGGATGGTTCAAGATCACCTCACTGCAATATTTAGGCTACGCGGGGCGGTTGATATGGAACCTCCATTATTGATGCCGATTACATCACCGGAGGACGACAAAGACCATGCGGTCTTTATTGACCGACACGGAGATATTGTGAAGCTGCCATCTAGTCTTCTCGTTACGTTTGCAAGACTTGCGGCTCGCGGAGGTATCACAAGGATCAAACGTTTCCATATCGCCGATGTGTATCGCCCCCAGTACGCCCCGCCCTGTTGTTGTAATCATCAACATCTAATACTCACGTTTTTCTTGTAGAGCGGTAGCTGGACATCCAAGACCTCATAAAGCGGCTGTGTTTGACATCATTACGCCTGATCTGATGTCAGGACCTGTGGCTGCAGGAGCTGAAATCCTTGCTGTTGCGAATAATTGCCTCGACACTTTCCCTAATCTTGCACAGATGTATGAGATTCATGTTTCTCATTCGAACAGTGTGTTCTCCTGAGACCTGCCCCTTCCCCCTGGTTGTCTCTAATCGTGATTTTAGTTGTCGATGCGGTCTTGGGCCGCTTACCTGCTGAGCATAAGAGCACGATTGTTGAAATCCTCAATCAGCCAAAGTCATCGACGTTTCAGAAGAGGGCACTGTTCTTGAAGAAGGGACTTCTGAGAAGCATTGCCGATGAACTGGAAGTTCTCAGCGATACGTGTGAGTCCCTTTGAGATATAACTTTTATATTATCTGATGAGAGGAACAGACGAGGATGTGGAACCGCTTCTTATGAGGCTTGATAAGCTCTCATCGCCTCTCCTGGACATGATACGGCCAGCAATCGAAGAAACCAAGAGGGTTGTGAAGACCGCTTCTCTCGCCGGTGTTTCGAGGCCGGTCAAGTTCTATCCGTTGATGGTGGGAAACCATCTCAAGGACTTCAAGCACGGCATTCTTGTAGAGGTTGTCAGACGAAGCAGGCGTATTGAACTTCTCGCAGCGGGTGGAAGGTAAATAGGTTCTCATTCCAATCTCTTTCTATTCTGACATCTTCGTAGATACGACAACCTGATCACGAAATTCTCCCCTCCCAAACCTACCGCAGAGTCGATTTATGCCGTTGGACTCCAGATCGCTATTGACAAGATCACTGCGGCTGTGGCATCGTTCCAAAGCTCCTCTGCCAAGTCTCTGCTCAAGGAGGCCAAGTCTTTTGGATACTGGAGTCCACGACGATGTGATGTGTATGTGATCTCTTATCATCCTGGATATCTTCAGGATCGATTGGGGCTTGCATCGTATCTGTGGAGACATAATATCAGCGCGGATATTATGTACGAATCCGCCATCACGAATGTCGAGACAAGTGTCACAGATACTTGCAAACGGGAAGGTATACTGTGAGTTCCAGGCGCTTTTCAACGTGGCCCGTTGTTGATCTTACCATCGATTTCCAGGTTCACTGTTAACCCAAGACCAAAGAGAGATCAGACCACTGGCGTCAAGGTCACGGCGATCTTTGGCAATTATAGCGATGAAGACAGTAAGAGGGTTCTTAACCGACTACACGTTTGTGTCTGACCACCTCGGCAGCATTGATACCTCGCCAGGAGCTCGTCGCGCATCTGCAAGAAGTTATTGCTGCCCAGAAGCGCGCAGATTTGGCAACGAGTGGAGCGACGACGTTCTTTGAAGGAAAGAACCTTTTGGCGAACAAAGAGACTACAACGTTGGACCTTCAGACTGTACTACCAGCCGAGACTGTGAAGAAGGGACTACGACGAAACAAACTTATCGTTCAGGACAAAGGTGTGACAATATGATTTTCCTTTGATGTTCTTTGGCTGATGTGTTCCCTCCTCGCCAGCTCATGAACTCGGAACGAAGATTCACCGAGCGTTTACGAGCAACATGCCCATGCTCGTAGTTGACATACCACCTGCCATGCTCGTCACGCTTACGAGGACCAATACGTGGATTACCAGCGACGAGGCATGGAAATTAATTTCTCCGGGGTTCAACAGCCATGTTTATGCTCAACAAGTACGCGACGCTGTTGCGAAGCGAAAGGAGGATGGATTTCCGTTCATACTTTTGTATGCAGCACGCGAAGAACGGGCTTTACTTCTTCAACTGCGCTAGTTCCTTTCTGATTTCAGTATCATCATCACCGTATTGCTCGACGTGGTCCGCCGTGGCCTCGTTATATATATCCTATACACCCACATCATTTTCTTGGGACTTTATGTAGTCGAAGTAGAAATTGTAGTATAATATGCGTTTGTATATATCCATCAAGCCCAACCTATTTTATAATATGCATACTCCACGGCCTCGTCTGAGATTCCATTCTCTGCATCGCAAATTACGGTTTCCCTTGAAAGTACGACTAGCTCGCCATCCCGAAACACTGATTCTACGGTGTTTGATTCTGTAGCAAAGGTCGGTCGGAGGGGTATGACAAGATGGAATACCGCTCCCTTGCGCAGAAACTTTCGGAGGCATGCTTGGATCCACACAGCATGCTGAGCGTCGTAAACAATATCTCCTCCCAGTACAACGTCAAAGGGTATATCCAGTGAACGGTCGTGATTGTCGCTGTCGGCCCAGTCCAAAAAGGTGGAACTGATGGCGACCGACGCAGGCTGAGCGAAATTATTCGCAATGTTGGCCTTGAGGTTGTCCAGAACCGACGGGTGGAAATCCGTGGCGACAATCGTGACACGTCCTTCGAGGAGCTTTCCAACGATGATGCTGACCAGGCCCGTCCCGGCGCCCAGTTCCAATACGCGCGTCCCCGGGTGCAAGCCGAACGCGAGGGGATCCTCCACGATGGCCTCAGCAAGCACGCACGCCCCGCCCCACGTCTGTGCGCCTACACTGCCGAAGTCCTGGTTCTCCAGTGGTGCGTCGGTCAGCCGCACTTGGATAGCACCGGGTGCAAAGACAAAGTCGCGGTGGATGACACCCGCTCCTGCCGTGCCAGAGCATATCGCTAGGAGCGCAGCCGCTTCTGCGATGAGAGCATCGTCATGATTTAGCTCTTCGGAGCAGAGCACGGCCTGCGAGACGAGGGCTGTGAGCCATCGGATGGCGTACGAGCGCTCGAAGGGATCGGAGCGCCACTCGTCGAGGACGGCGACTGTTTGGAGGTCTGAGCGACGCCGCTTTGATCCTCGTACTGGAGGGTTGTATATCGAGCGGAGGTATAATAGACATTCCAGGAGCTCTTGGGGGGAATTGTATGGAATTTTCTTGATGGGGGGGAGGCGTGTGGTAGGGGGTATTATGAAAGACATGATTTTATGTGTTTAGAGGGTGCTATGGTCAATATAAGTAACGAGGGGAAAAGCGGAAACGTTGTGTACGATACATACTTTTGAGAAAAAAGGGTTGAGCGGTGAGCTGTTTGGAGGAGATTGAGAGAATTATTGATCACTATACAGAGAGGAAGTCAGATAAAGATTAAGAAATCCAAAAGTGTATGTATTACTTGCGTGGATGTTAGCACAACAGCATCTTGAGTAGGAGCAAGAATTCACAAAGATGAATGCTATAGTCAAGAATTTGTCCTTATTTACTTTCAAGCCCGACAACGTTTTACCCGCTCCACCTCAATGAAATGGTGGATGGTTTCACTTCGACGATATCGGCTGCAGATCCGATAAATGCAGCGGTGCTATACGGTCCCGTTTTACCTGGCAACTATCCTACGCCACGTTTAAACCCCTTCCAGCCGCCGCCATTTCTACCCCCACCAGAAGCAATCCAGCAAGTCGACCCCCATTCTCCAGAACTTTTCAAGCAGAGCATACACGTTGTACGAAGGCTTGTTATAAATCTCCAAAATGAAGCAACAGATGCGTTGTCGGGCATGTGAGCTTTCCTGACATCTTTCACTATGCAGCAGCATTTTTCTCACAGCGTCCATCCCAGCCAAAACGCCTATCATCCAGGGAGTAGCCCTGCACAGACAGAGGGTACTTCTGATATGCTCTTTTTTTTTCGTCGTTAGGATGTTGCACTGACGTTTGATTTTTTTTGTCATAGCGAATATTTCTGCGTTGAAAGAGACGTTCGAGATGCTCTCGGATATAATGCGGCGTACAGGCGTGGGAGCACTCCCTCTTTTGCCGTTTCCACCGCAGCCGGGTGCACCGCAAGTTGTGCCCACTGAGCAGGAGATGATGGTTGACGTGTCGAAGTCCGTCCAAGTGCTTTATGAGAGACTCAAGCGGAGTCAGGAGAGCGCTGCTGTCGTTGCTAACCTTCTTGGAGCTTCAGATGCGCCCCTTCGGGCTAGTGGTCGTAAATGACGAGGTGAGAATCAACTGTCTAGTTCATCGTTCCAACTTTCTAACTATTGGAATGTCAATTCCGCAGAGATATCCATGGCTACATGTCGCCGATCACGTCTAGTAACTTGGGAACCAGATGGTCGTGTACTAAACCTTGAGTGGGTCTTTCGTTAAATAACGAGATTTGACATGCTCTAGTCGCAGTGTTATATCGTGAAACAATACAAACAATCGAAGAGCATAAAGATAACTAGGCGCTGGTGCTGAACAGCAGTTTAAGAAGCCTGGGGAAAGTGTCATCGAATTTATCACTTCAGATGAGAAGGAGCAGCCTTCTCGGCATTTTCATTTTGTCGGCCTGGACGAGAAGAATTGAAAATTGGACCAACTCTTCGCCATGCTATACGACGGAGGCATGAGGTCATCTGTTTGCTGACACCACGCAGCGAATGGATGGGATGATTTTATCTCAATGTACTATAAATACTTAAATCGTCCTTACCTCGTAGCTCAAGCTGCTTCATTGCTATTTGGTTATCATGCGCACCCTCTTCACGACAATGCTTCTCCATCCCTGGAACGTTGCATCTGCGATGCTAATCTCAGGTGCACGGCAGAACCTCGTTGCGATAGAATACAATCCATCAGACCTCTATTCCAACTAGCTCGTCTACCAGGACGCACCGCTGCATCCATCTTTTCCGACAAAGGCCGCGTAGAGTGATTGGGTACGCCTCGCCCACCTTAAAAAAAGTTTCCCAGCTCCTCAGCCTGTCCTAGGGCCCCGACGATGAGCCTGGCGCTCTTAATCCTGTCACTCCAGCCATGATCCAGCTTCCAAGTCCGATTCAAGAGAGTATTGCGATCAGCTTGAACCTAGAACTTGATCGGTCCAGCCTTCTCGCAGGACACGACTCAAGGTACGGTCATTGTTGTCCTGCTGGCAACACAGGAACGACTCTCATTCCTGGCTTAGCTGTCATACCGTTTTCTGGCTACCAAGCCAATGTACTCACGTTGAACACTCAAGTCTCGACTCAACCTGATGGAGTCAGACATTATTCGTATGCCACGAATGAGGACGTTTCTACGTACGTCTTCTCGTGGATGCTCCTTTCTGCACTTGATGTATTCTTTCGCGCCATAAGTTTTACAACATGGTGTCGCCTGCCACGATAATTACACTCGGCCTGCAAAGCAAGGCATGTTGCAGGACGACACAAGTACCTGGTGTCAATCTTATATAAGCATAGACAGTTTTGTCCTGAGTCGACGGTCAATTGCCTTTAAGCAATTGACTGTCATACTCAGGTGAGTAGTAGTCATATGTACCTCAGCTTTTAAGCAATTGACTGTCATACTCAGCCTGGCCTATTATCCACTGTGTGAAAATAACCTGCCTGCAACAGGTTATGGGCCCTGAGCTTTAAGGCCTATTTTGAGTTTTTTTTTCATCTTCACATCTTGCTTGTGCCCTGCTATCTCTCCATCAGTCACTTCACTACTGAAATGATATCACCACATACATTATGCCATCCTTTGACACAATCAAAAAGGGCTTTGACAACCTAAATGCCTCCAATTATGGCAAATGAGAAGAAAACATGTCAGCCCTACTCAAAACTCACTGTGAGTACCTTATCACCATTGGCCATGACCCTGAACCAGAGTTTGCAGACCCTGAGAAGCCAACATACCAGGAGAAGAAGGACTGGAAGGACTGGAAGGAGACTCAGGTATTGGCCACTGGCACAATCTACCTCTGCCTTGATGAATCCCAGAAGGCTCATGTCAAGAGCTGCCTTGACAATCCAGAGAGGATGTGGGACACATTAAAGGCACACCATCAGCAAAGAAAACCAGCAACTCATTTTGTAGCCTATGACAGCTTCTTCAATCTCAAGAAGGAGACAGAAGAGTCACTTCCAGACCTTGCCAGTTGGGGCACTCAAATCATGAGTCATATCTGTGCTCTGCATCCTGCTCATTTTGGCCTCCAGCAGTTAGAAGAAGAGCTTCTTGTTATGGCCCTGATTCATGCACTCTCTCAGCCTGAATTTGGAAACTTTGTCACATCACTATTCCTTCTCTCTGATAAACTCACTCTTGAAGGACTCCACACTGCATTTCACAATGAAGAAAACAATCAGAAGCTGCATGCCAGTGACCCAGCAGTCTCTGTTGCTCTTAAAGCCACACCTTTCCATTCAGCCATGAATCTGGCTACCAATGCCACTGCAAAATGTGGATGGTGCCTTTGTGAGAATCATGCAGAAGAAGAATGTATAACCAAGAAGCTCTCACTTAAACAGGACCATGAACATGCTGCTGACTGTACTGCTGGGAAGCATCATCACAAGGGGGCTGGAAAGAAGGATTTGGAAGCTGCTAACTCTGCCAAGACAAAGGAGGAGACTGCTAGCCAAGCAAGTACTGATTTATCATCATCTGCTGTGTCTCATTGGAATACCAATACAGGTGCTTCTCATCATATGACCTCTCACCAACAATGGTTTTGATTCTATGCTTCACATGTTGTTCCCATTCATCTTGCAGACAATTCAGTCATCTATTCAGCAGGGATTGGGTCAGTAGTATTGGAGCCAGAGATTCAGGGGGAGAAAGGCTCAGTGGTGGAACTTCTTGACACACTATATGTATCAGCATTGAAAAGTAATCTCTTATCACTCTATCATCTTACACAGAAAAAGGGATTTAAGATCTCAATTGCTGGATCAGATGTCACTTTCAGCCAGGGTGAAAAGGTTCAATTCATAGCAACTGTAAACAAGAGCAATATTGGCTATGTCAATGCTACCACATATTCATTCTCAAAATTGACCACTATCATTGCAAACTCAAGCTCCACAAGTACCTGCCAGATGGACAACACACTTTAGTATAGACATTGCTGTCATTGAAACATAGACACTATATGGCACATGCATATAAAGCAGCTAGTAACTGGAATGAAGCAAGAGTCAGATCTTCCAACTGATCCTATCTGCATACTATGTCTCACTGGCAAACAGCATCACCACAATGTTCCTTGTGGCTTCTCAGAGTGGAAGAAACACCTTCTTGAGCAAGTATACAGTGATATCAAAGGTCCAATGCCTGTCACAACCCCAGAGGGCTATTGCTACTGGATAACATTCATCTGCAGTGCATCTGACACTTAGGCCATCACACCTCTGAAGTATAAAAGTGATACCTTTAATGCCTTCAAGCAGTTCAAAGCATATGTAGAGAATACCCATCCAGGACTCAAAATCATTGAGTTTCAGGAAGACAAAGGTGGTGAATATATGGGAAGAGAGTTTATTGACTTCTGTGCTGAGCATGGGATCAAAAGGTGACATACTGAACCTGATGAACCATACCAGAATAGCACAGCAGAACAAGCCAACCACATGATTGCAGAGGCCATCACTGCTATGCTAAATGAGTCACATCTCCCACCATCATTTTGGAACCTTGCTCTCTGAGTATTCATTCATGTCTGAAATCACATCCCCACAGATCCTCTTCCAAACATCACACCCTTCACAGAATGGGACTCAAATCACTGAAAACCAGATATATCCCACTTTTGTGTGTTTTGTTAGGCCCAAGCATCATGTGTGAGTAACCATGTGATAAACAGGTGTCACCTCACACTTTGGGTGATTGTCTGAGTTCATGAGTGTGATTACAGTGGTGTGTCATAAGGCTTTTAGATGGTTTGAGGATAGAATGGTATGAATAAACTTTAGCTCAAAGCTGGGTTGTCGCCAGCGAGAGTGAGCTCTTTAAATACTGTATGTGTCCTGCTAATAATAGTCCTATACTAATTGTGTATTTCTCTGTCTGTTGTGCTCTTTGTCCTTGAGCATCGTTACTATATATAAAAGGCAAATTGTATGTCATCAAGCAATTGGAAGAATAGCAGGCAGTCTTGTGATGACTAAGCCATGTGACCTGTCCAAGCTTAAATAGGGGTAAAAATGATAGGAGAGAGAAAAAATTGTAACATTACCCCCCCATTAAGACTATCGTCCTGATGGCTTAATTAAGAGATAACTCATAGTCGTGTATTGCATCATCAGCAGACATATATTTTTCATTCACCCATTAGTTAGACTCAGGCCCATATCCTTTCCACTTGACTAGATAGTCGATCATTGTTGTCATCCCACTGCCTTTTGCCTTAATCTTTTGGAGTTTATGATATAAGATTTGTTTGATCTCATAGTGTTCTTCATCATCAATGAGATCCAGGAGAGGGGGAGGTGGTTGTTCTTGTGAGAGAAAGGCTGGTGCGATATATGATGTCAATAGAGCTTCATTAAAAACATCATGGACTTTTCACATTATGGGCAATCATAATTTGTAGGCACTGATGCCAATTTTAATGAGGATCAGAAAGGGACCTGTGCATTTATCAGATAGTTTGCATTTGGGGCAGGGCAAATAGAGGTTGGTTGTATCTAACCAGACCTTGTTGTTGATGTTATAGGTCTGGGCTGCTCACCTTCACTTGTCGTATTGCACCTTCATTGTTGTTGCAGCCTTTTCAAGTGTGACAGCAGTTTTGTTATGGATTTTTTCCATAGTAATAGCAAAGTCCATTGAGGCTGGCATTGTCATGTGAAGATGCACTCTGTGTGTGATATGAGGATGACAACCATAGTTGATAAAAAATAGTGTCCATCCTGTTGCTGAGTGTATGCGACTATTGTGTTGGAAGGCTGCTAATGCCAACCATTTGACCCAGTCATCTTGTTGATAATTGATAAAAAGATGCAGGTACTTTTCAACCTCTTGATTTGCTCATTCCATCTATCCATTGGTTTGAGGGTGATATGTGGTGGATGCATTTCATTTAATGTTTAGTAATCAATAGAGGTCATCAAGAAATTTAGAGACAAATTGAGGTCCTCAGTCCAAGATAACTACTTGTAGCATGTCATATTTTGTGTAGACTTCATCATGTAAAATCTTGGCCCATCCTTTGGAAGTGAGTTCCATGGAACATGTGATCGGAATGATTGCTTTAGAGAAGTAGTCAACAATGACCAGAATGGCATCATAGCCATTGCAGTCAGACAGGCCAGTGATCATATCAATGGAGATATGCATCCACAGTGAGGCTGGAATCTCATTTGGGTGTAGTGGGGCTGCTCAAGGTTGAGTCAATATTTTGCCATGCTGACAGGTTTCGCATGCTTTGACATATGTGATGATGTCATTCTCTATCTTGAGCCACCAATATTCTCACAGCACCAGCTCTTTTGTCTTGGCTATTCTCAGGTGTCCTGTGGTGGCATGATTGTGACAGGTGGTGATGATCTCACCCTGAAGACCTATGTCTCATGGAATGTAGATCCACCCATCATATTGGATCAGTCTCTCTTCCATCTTCATCCCTCATTGATGATTGAGTGAGAGGGTGATCTGCTGATCCCATTTATGATTGTCTCTTGTGATGCTTTTGATTTGCTCATGGATTTCTTCCTCTGTTAGCATTACTATGGCTCAGAAATGTTTGGGTCATAGCAATGTGATACCTTTATTGTCTGCCCCCCCCTGATCGTGATTGGCTCTTCAGCTGAGGAGATCAGCCTTTTTGTTGGTGGTACCAGATTTGTGATATAGCATATATTGATATTGACTGAGTTCGGTAATCCATCAGGCCTGCTGGCAATTCAGTTTTTACAGCTGATAGAAGTATTGTAAGTTCTGGTGATCGGTCCATATCTCAAATACTAGAGTAGCCCTGATAAGATAATGTCACTATTCTTCCAGAGTGAGCATGATAGCCAAAAGTTCCTTATCATATATCTCATAGTTTTGTTCAGTGACCATGAGGGCCTTGGAAAGGAAAGCGACTGGTTGCCACTTCCCATCTTGTTCCTGAGATAGTACCACTCCAACAGCCTCTTCACTTGCATCTGCCTCCACTCTGAATTTTCCATCCTCCATAGGAATAGTGAGGATGATGTCTTCCACCAATCTCCTTTTTAGATCATCAAATATGACCTGTTGTGAGG